ATTCCAACGGCTTGATTTGAAACTCGCTTTGACCCCTATTTTGAATTGAACCAACGGCTGTGATTTGATAGCCGTTGCAAAGGGTACGCTCGGCCATGTATCCGTTGGCAGTGTCGCTCCCATGACACTTCACTTTTCTGCAACTCACTAAACCCTAAAAAATTAAGAAAGAGGAAATTAGGTGAAGAATAAAGAAGTAAACAAGAGCCCATAAATGGCTCACTGTCACTCTGGTCTGAACCGTTGTATGGTGTTCTCTGTTCATTAGACCCTTTAAGGCCATTGTTGCCATGACGCCTTTGGGCCATTGTCCGGGGAGTTTGTGATTTCAGGGGATAAATTTGGCCGGAAAATTGGAATTTGGGTGAGTTTTGCAGGTTGGGGTTGTTAAGGTTAGTGGGTTCATTGATCTGAGATGTGGGTTTTGATTTTGGGGGGTTTTTGAACGTGGGTTTTGGATTAGGGTTGGATCCATTGAGGTTTCTTGAGGACTTTCAATGTAAATGAATGGAAAGAGACTGATCCCTGATTCTGATTTCAACCCTTGATTTTACAGTCATAACCATGTTTTGGAACGTAGGTTTTTTAATTTGGATTGGACCAACTTGAGATTATTCACGAAACTTAGTGTAAATGAATATTGAGGCCTGGATCCAGATTTTTAATTCAAATAATTGATATTAAATCTGGTAATGGTCCATTTTCTGAACATTGGTTTTTGACTGGAGTTGGACCAGCTGTCTTTTGCGCAATTTTTCTGTAAATAGATTTGAAGTACTGGATCTTTAACCATGATTCCTACATCTGTTTTCATATCTGGTGAATTGGGTTTTTTTTTTGGTATATGGGTTTTGGATTTCGGTTATTAATTTTTTTTCAGAATTATACTATAAACAGATTCGAGGGTTGGAATCCCTAACCCTGAGACAGACCTTTTTCCTTAGTACCTTAATCTATGTTGGAGTTTACAATCTAAATGTCTCTATCTTATTTTGGGCATAAGTTCTAGAATGGAGGGCAGGAGATCAGCTATGGAGGCAGCAAGCAGGCGCCCAGTACTGTCAGATATTGGCAATTTCGTGGGTGGTCACCCCCTGCGATATGCAGCTTACAAACAAGGGGTTGAAGGGTGCACATTATAAATCCTACACCTAATATTCCATTCTATTAAGATGTGATTTATCTGCAATTTTTTCCATTTTAAAGTACTTATTTCGCTTTTCCAATCCCAGTAAAATGATCCCGATTGGGAAGAACCCAGCCATCGCAGCCAGCCGTCCAATGACTAGGTCAGAATTGTATTTTGTCTTTCTGTTGCATTTAAAAATTGGCACCACCTAGATGATGAAGCTCAATTCATGTTTTATTCATATTTTCTTGATTTAGGAGATTTGCTGCTTCATTGACAAACAAACAAACATGGGTTCAGGTATTCCTTTTATTGTCCCTTTCCCTGCCAAAAATATGATGAGCTTAGTTTTGGAAGAATTATCTTAAATTTCTTTCATAAACTCCTTATTCTGCTTTCTTTTTTCTCTTCCCACTTAAGGTTCAGAAACAGAAGATTGAACCAGTTGAGAATGTGACATGGGGAATCAAACACCAAAGAACTGCCCCTTTCAGTTCTTCTTCCAATGATTCGAAAGACTTTGTCACCATTGATGTGGAAGAATGCGCAGTAAAAGAAGTCATAGGTGTGGAAGAATGCAAGGTCAAAGAAGTCATTATGCCAGCAGTTATTGAAGCCATGGCAGAGGACCCCGCAGTGAGTGATAAGCCACCTGCTGAGTGTGATTTAGTTATTTATTATCGATTTTTGGGTTATCAATATTCCCTAGGTATTCCTCCTATATATCATGAGGATTTCTCAAATATTTGAGTGACATCCCAAGTTCTAAAATGAATAATCTGAATTTAGCAGCACTGCGACATGTTTGATGAGGTGGAGATGGAGGATGTATCAGATCCTATTATTCCAGACATTGATAGCTGTGATTCAAACAATCCCTTAGCTGTTGCCGATTATGTCGATGACATTTACCAGTTCTACATGGAAACCGAGGTATATATCTGATGGCTCTTTCTTTAATATTGAAACATGGGAGTTTCTGAAAGTCCAATAAACTTTTGTTTATAGGAGTTTTCTTACTTATTTGATTGATGATTATTCTTGCATAATTCCCTTGTTTTGCAATCAAACACTGGAATTTTTGGATAGTCCCAAATACTGGGATTGTTGAGATCTAAAGCTCCCTTTTAACAAAAAAAAAAAATGAACGAAGAACAAAGGACCGAATCAATACTCAAAACTCATTTCTGATCCAACATATGTGGGTATATATGCCAATAGGAGCCATTGGAACCCCAACCAAGTGATCCCAATTTAAGAAAAGCTTCTCAATATTCATAAATTTAGATATTATCTTTCTAATGTTCTCCATTTCTGCCTTTCTTAATGTAAATGTATTGTTGAAAAGTTTTCAAACCAAGGACCACTTTAATCTTCACATGAATCTTCCTTTCATGATTTCTCTAGCTCGAAGAGAAAGCATAATTTAGGCTGTTATTTCCTCACAAGTTTTCCTTTAAATGTGCTGCTAATATTTGAGTCTGGATGTTCACTACCATATAGCCATAGCAAATATTTGATTTTCTCTCTATATAACAATGAGTTGAATAGGTTGAGTTTTTCGTGTTCAGTGAACTTGAACTGATAAAAGTTCAATTTTTTTTGTAGAATTCGAGCTGCGTCCCTCCAAATTATATGTCCAACCAAACAGACATTAATGATAAGATGAGGGCCATCTTGATTGACTGGCTTATCGAGGTACAGTGTAAAATTTCAGATTGCCTATTATTTTTATATTTATTGTAAATATTGATTCAAAATTTTACAGTAACCACACGTCCATTTATCTGTTTTTTAAGTTAGTTTTGCTGGTTTGCAGTTTTTGCTTTTGCTAGAGATAAATCATACCTTGGAATTTAGAGTTCTGAAAAAACCATTTTTATGCAGGTGCATTACAAGTTTGAGCTAATGGACGAGACCCTATTCTTGACGGTCAACCTCCTAGATAGATTCTTAGCATGCCAAACAGTGCTAAGGAAGAGGCTACAGTTGGTGGGGGTCACAGCCTTGCTTCTGGCTTGCAAATATGAGGAAGTCTCCGTTCCGGTTGTCGAGGATTTGATTCTCATCTCAGACAGGGCTTACTCAAGGGCTGAAGTCCTACAAATGGTTCGTTGAGAGAGAGAGATTTAATGATATGCTGTGTTTCATTTATGTTTGTGGATCACTATAAAAATTGGTCTAAGAAGGGGTTTAACTGTGTGTTGCAGGAGAAACTGATGGTGAACACCTTGCAGTTCCAGATCTCGTTGCCGACTCCGTATGTTTTCATGAGGAGGTTCCTTAAGGCAGCTGAAGCTGATAAGAAGGTGAATGGACAACAGAGAGAGAGAGAGAGAGAGAGAGAGAGAGAGAGAGAGAGAGAATGAATCAATTTATAGGTAGTTCAATTCCTACTACTGCTCTATTCAAAAAAAGAAAAGAATTGACTTGTGTGCTGTATGCTTTTGATTGAGCTGAATCCCTTTCTATTACAGTTGTTTCTAATTTGTAATCAAATGTTTCTAACATGTAACCTAATGTTCCTGAAACAGCTCGAGTTCCTTTCATTTTTCCTCATCGAGCTGTGCCTTGTACAGTATGAGATGCTCAAGTACTGCCCTTCATTGCTTGTAGCAGCTGCAATATATACTGCACAGTGTACCATTAAGGGCTATAGGTTTTGGAGTCCAACTTCAGAATATTATACGACCTACTCAGAGGATCAACTTTTGTGAGTATTTTGTCTCCCTGCATTTTATTCTTTTCAGTTTCTACTTTCTGTGTTTGATTTTTCAAGAGAGTCATTCTAGTTTTTATTGTTCAGAGAGAAAAACTGATATTGTTTTGTAATATTTATAGAGAATGCTCAAGGTCAATGGTAGATTTCCATCAAAAGGCAGCAACAGGAAAACTAACTGGTGTGCACAGAAAGTTCAATACATTCAAGTTTGGATTTGCTTCGAAGTACAAACCCGCTCTCTTTCTTTTGGAAGCAGCTCTCTAGCCATGACTTATATTGTGCAACATTTGTTGCACATGAATTAATTTTATGTTTCAGTTAAAGCAGCCTCTCACTGTTCAAATTGTGACCATAGGAAACTTCATTTTCTAAAGTTATTCTTTGTTATTTTTTCTTTTTATATTTTTTGTTTGTCAAGGGTTTGTTTTTTCATTTTAATCATGTCTCAGAATACTAGTGAACATTCCAGAAAAAATACCTGAATGTTTTTATAAAATAAGACTTGTTTTATGTGCATCTAGAAAAAAATATTCATCCATGCAACTTGACCAACCCAAGATTCAGAACTGGTATGGCATTCAATCGCAATCTGTTTTGTGTGTATCTAGAAAAATTGTTCATGGATGTAATCTTACTACCCCAAGTTTCAGAACTGATATGGTATTCAATCTCAATCTGTTTCTCTAGATTGTAAAAAATGTCATACATGCTATAGGCATTCAATATGCTTCAGTGTATAGTGAAATGGTGGGTCAATTTTGCTTTAGGCATAACTGATTATGCATATATACACCATTGACAATGGATTTGATTTCTTGTTGTTTCTAATGGAACTAAGATGCTGGTATATATTTCCTATCTCAATGTGATAGAGCTCTAAACACAAGATGCTCCTATAATGGAGCAGGTAGACACAGGATGCTGATGCATATATTTCCCATCTCAGTGTAGTAAAGTTCCAAAAACAAGATGCTCTGGTGCGTATATTTCCCATCTCAATTGTAATAGAGCTCTCTAAACACAAGATACTCCTATCTCATACAATGGAGCAGTAGACACAGGATGCTGATGCATATAGTTCCCATCTCAGTGCAGGGAAAGCTTTCTATGTTCCCCCTACAACATAGAAGTTCTATGTTCCCCCTACCATCCAGCTGTCCATTTTTTATCAAGAGAGTCACCCACCGTTTGATCTTAGATCCAACGTCTCAAAGTATTTTATTTTTAGTTTTTTTTAATACAATTTTTTTTAATATGAAATTTGGTAGGTGTCATCTTCTCATTGGGACGCACCTATAAAAAATATTAAAAATAATTTTAAGATAAAAAATAATGACTAAAATACCCCTTGAAACTTTCAGGAGTATTTTGGTCATTTTATTTCATTAAAAATATTTTTTTTGTATTTTTTGTTAGTGCGAGTTTGATATGGAAATGGACGTCTAAAATTTGGTGTCAAAACAGTTAATAGAAAAAAAATTAAAAATAAAACAAGTGTAGAGACGTGACATTATGATTTGGGCAATCTTAGCGCTCATTCAAAAATGGATGGTTGGATAAGGGGGAACATAGAACTTCTATGTTGTAGGGGGAACATAGAAAGCTTTTCCCTCAGTTGCAATAGAGCTCTAAAAACATGATGCTTATCCATATATGAATTGCCCATCTCAATGCAATAGGGTTCTTCTAAACATGCCATTTCTATTATTGCATATAACAAGGCTCTATAATAGACACAGGATGCTGATGCATACATTTCCCATCTCCAGAGTAATAGAGTTCCAAAAACAAGATGCTTATTCATATTTATAGCCCACCTTAACGCGATAGAGTTCTTCTAAACATATGCCACTTCTAATATTGGAGAGAACGAAGTTGCTGGTACATATGTTTCCCATCTCAATGTAATAGAGCTCTAAACACAAAATACTCCTAGCTCAAATAATGGAGCAGTAGACAGGATGCTGTTCCCATCTCAGTACACACAAGATACTTCTAGCTCAAATAATGGAGCAGTAGACACAGGATGCTGTTCCCATCTCAGTACACACAAAATACTTCTAATATTTGAATGATGCTTATCTGCATGGGTATTGCCCATCTCAATGCATTAGAATTCCAAAAGCAAGATGCTTATCCATATGTATTGCCCACCTTAACGCGTTAGAGTTCTTCTAAACATGCCACTTATAATACTGCATATAACAATGGCTCTATAGTGGTTGCATTGGAGAGAATTTACCTATTTGAGATATTGGAGCGAACGAAGTTGCTGGTACATATATTTCCCATCTCAATGTAATATTGCTCTAAACACAAGATACTCCTATCTCATAAAATGGAGCTGGTAGACACAGGATGCTGATGCATATAGTTCCCATCTCAGTGCAATAGAGTTCTTCTAAACATGCCACTTCTATTATCACATATAACAATGTCTCATGATGCTTGTCCATATGTGTATTGCCCATCTCAATGCGATAGAGTTCTTCTAAACATGCTGCTTCTATTATCGCATATAACAATGGCTCTATAATAGTTGGTTTCCTTGGAGAGAATTTTAATTATTTGAGATATTGCGTAACCCATCACTTATAGATACCATAAACATACTTCATTGGAGTATAGCATTCTGCTACTCTTACCTGTCATCCATTGTCTCTGCCTGTATTGGCAGTGGCGTCAAGTAATTGTTCCCTTCAAAGAAACAGGCAATACTTCATCACTCAATGTCCTCCGCCAAACATGGACGGGGGTGGATGTTTTGTTTGAGTAACTCGTACCATATGGGACATCTTGTTCTTTTTGAATGATAAATGGCAGTAAGTAAAAGAAGATAACACATGTCCATAGTGCAGTTAAAAGGGTTAGGATCTCTTTTGGGTATCAACACAATTTGCACACCAAATTTCAATCAATAAAATTATTTATTTATTGAGAAAAAAAAGGAAGCAAAATATCTGGACCTACTTTAAACCAAACAGAATAGCAACTCCTGACAACTACAACATGAAGCAATAGGAGCCAAGCACACCAGTGAGAACATAACAAAAATAATGGCAATTTTACATAGGCACGTCCAACTAAGTGCTTTATATTTCTTCCTTCTGCCACTATTCCAAGGAGAATATGCTAAAGAAATCGGCAACTCATTTCATGCCGTCCTTGGACAACATGGATAAGTACTTTACACCAAACGGCATAGCAACTCCTAACAACCAGACCAAACAAGCGACAACTATTACATGAAGGAACAGGAATACAGCAAACAAGCAACAACTTCTCATAACATACAATCATAACATAAATAATGGCTTACATGTCACAACTACTACATGAAGGGATAAGAGTAAAGCAAACCAGTGACAACTTCTCATAACATAATCATTATATAAATAATAGCTTACATGGGTGGTGACAACTTCCAAGTATGTTCTTCCACATTTCTTGTATTTCTCCTCTGCCAGTCTTCTCATATTATTCCAAAGAGAATGTACTAATGTATATAGGATTGCTTGGGAAGTTCTGAGCACATTTGCATGGCACTCATAAATTTTAATAAAACTTTGTCCATGTATACGAGTTATAATGTTTTGTTAGTTCATGCCTATTAAGTAATTTCTGTTGCTTCGAACTTGACTTCCAATATTTTATTCAGCCTGATATTTGAACCAAAGTGTCACAGCATCTGATGTCCTAACTCCTTAATAACCTAACCCACCACTGAGTCAAGAACCAGAATCCACAGATTAAACTGGAACTTTAAATAGTTTTACTTCTAAAATTTTGATGAGACAACTCTACAAACCCACCCCCAGTTTAGACAATTTTATTATTCCTTTCTAGAAATTGCAGGCCCCCAAGATACACTTGTGGCAAATTTGAATGACACCAAATTAGAACGCCAGAACTGCCTCTTAGGTGCACACACATTTGTTTGATGCTGCCAAAATTTGCTACTTAAATGTACACATAATACTGAGGAACCTTGCAGTATTCAATATTATTACAATACGCTCGTGGTTTGCAGGTGACAACTTAGAAGGGAAGTATATGCAAATGTAAAAGGTGTAATTTAATTATGGCTCTGTCTAGAGTACCAACATAAAAATGAAGAGTAAGTTACATGACCATTTCCTATAGAATATTTGCATAGACAAAGCACACATAATACTGTACAGGGATAAAATATGAGAAACTATTCAAAACGATAGCAGTACACACTCGTGGTATGTAGAAAAAACTGTGAAGGAAAGTATGCAAATGTAAAAGGTGTAATTTAATCGCAGCTCTGTGCAGAGTAACAATCTCAAAATTGAAGATTAAGCTACACCAACACTTCCTAGAGAATATCGTGCATAATCAGCCAGAGCCAGGTCAGAACGGGCAGAATAAGTCTTGCAAAAAAAATTGTCCAATCAAACATTGTTATGGAAAGAGAAACTTGTAGAAGAATGAAGATATATAAATTTTTTTATTCTTTTGAGAAATAGTGAACGAAAATGAAAAAGGAGTACCGAGTTCTCATAGTGTATGAAATCCAAAAACTTGGGTACACCCTTGCGAGGCAACAAAAATGCCCGTTAATACATCCTCATAGAGAACACTTGATTCGATATTATTTTAATGCTTTATGCACTGGGCTGTCCTGGTTTTCCCACATGTTAAAGATTTGCCGTTGTTGTGTGCTTTATGCATTGCCATATCATGGTTTTCAAGGTGTAGAAACAATGCAAACAAAAATCTTCCCAAGGATGGTCATCTACCAAGGAACAAAAAAAAGTGTATAGTTCATCTAAAAGATAATAAATTTGTGTTTGATTTACATTTAAGTTGAATAATTCAGCATCGATTTAGTTAACTCCTAGTCCTTCATGGAAACATATGCAGTGGGAATGTATTTAAGTAGCACACTGAATTTTCACACACTACTTCTACTTCAATCCAGCCATCAGATGTTAGAGAAAGTGTGAAATGAAAGTATATATTGTCTATGAGGTTAATATATAAGGTGTATATTATAATCAGTATATTTGATAATGGTAAGTGCAGTATCCTGTATTTTATGATAAGTCTTGGTATAGCTTAGGTGAATATCATTTATTTCTATTTTTGTCATTTATAATATGTCTATAAAAGATAAATCTGTATATTCATATAATTAATGGGCTTTGAATCTCCTCAAAGAAACCTGAGACTCTTCACATGGTATCATAGTCAGATTCATCTTAGCTATGTCCATTCCTCGTTCTTGAAGCATTGTGGCCGATTTTCAAGATAAGTCTGTTGCTCACCTAGTCAGCGCAACTTCTACCGAGTCGTGTTTCGACTCTCTGATTTGTCATCTCTGTCGAGTCGTGTTTCGACTCTCTGATATGTGTATCTGCCAAGTCGTGTTTCGACTCTCTGATCTGTCTCTCAGCTGAGTCGTGTTTTGACTCTTGGATCTGTCTCTCTGCCGAGTCATTTTCGACTCTCTGATGTGTTTTTCTCTTTAGGATTGTCTGCAATTTTTGTTATTGAGTCCATATGTTCTGAAGGTTTATTGATTCGTCGTTGCTTTCTATACTTGTTGATCAAGCAATCTGAGTATGACAACCACTACATCTATTGGTCATGCTATACACCTGAAGATCTAGCTGCTCGTTTCCACAATTAGTGTTCAAACTCCCGTTTATCTCTCTCATAGCATATTGAATTTGAGGGGGAGTGTGAAAGGAAAATATAGATTGTTTATGAGGTTAATATACAAAGTGTATATTGTAATTAGTATAGTTGGGAATGGCAAGTGTACTATCCTATTTTTATGGTAAGTCTGGGTATATCTTACATGTATATCATTTATTTCTATTTTTGTCATCTGTAATATGTCTATAAAAGACAAGTCTGTATATTCATATAATTATTAAACACCGAGTCTCTTCAAAGAAACCTCAGACTCTTCATAGAAAGAACCCTTGCTATTTTTCTTTTGACAAAGTTCTTTACAAATAGTTGGTTTGATGATATAATATTACACTGCTGAAACAAAAGTCATATTCTGATATTTAATATTCTTCATAAAATACACTAATTGTAAAAGAGAAGTATCATTTAAACTGTCAAGAAAATTATGAAATACATCAAAATATCATAGTTAGTATTTGGATTTATTTTTATTTCACACAAATACCTCTTTAATAATATATTCAAAATTTCTAAATTGTCCTTGTTCAAGATCAACAACCTTTTGGGGGTTTAAATTCAGGCTTGGTGTAGCCCAATGGGCCTAGGACGTGCCCTATGTTGGGCCTGGTCTTCAAGGGCCGCTGGCCAACCTCCCACATTGACATCATTTTACACTAAAACTTTATATAATTAGGACCCCTCGGACCTTAATACCAAGGCCTAAACCGGGCCCCTTAAGTGAACAAGCCTTAAATTAAGGCTTGGCCTTGCCCCAACTTGACCCTTGTCGAGCAAGGCCTACATCATTTTCCCCCTAGGAACCCTAAACAAGTAAGGATTTTTAAATAAGGGGTTATATACTATGAGATCATTATCTTTGTGATAAGAAGGTCACAATTGCTACATGTTGTTAGATGTCAAATTGGATGGTTTGGGGTGTGTTACAAAGTTCAATAATTTTTTTATAAGTTTGAATCTAGTCAATGGCACACTCACAACCACCTAATTTGAAATCTTACGAGCGATAATTGTAACCTCCTTATATTAAAAGTAAATGGTCTCTTTGTATACTTTTCTTTTAAATAATTTATCCACCAAGAATAAGCAAATATATTCCTGTCCTTTGATTGGGTCCTCTTAAGTAGATCAAATTAATGGGATACTGGTTTACTTATAATTGGGCAATTTTTAAGGGGAATTATTGAAAATGTCCCCTTATTTTTATGAAATTTAAAGTACATACTTTTTTTTTGTTCAAATTTACTACCAGATTCATTTTTTTCACCATTTTTTTAATCTCCAAAATGCCCTTCACATACTATTAGATATGTAAAGGACTACCATTGACCTATAAGGTCTATAATGGTCTTAAGGCCCTTTTTTTGGGTACCAAGGAAGCTCCATGGGGCTTTATGGACCTGTTCGGTTGGTGAAGCACCATCACGGTCCGTTATGATCCAAAGTTGTATATGAAGCTCCATCACAGACCTAACAAGTCTGTGACGGTCCAAATCCCCCGTTGAGTGCTTCCTAGTTTTTTACGAAGCACCATGGGTTCATGAACCTAATAGGCCTATGATAGTGTTAATAGTGAGTGCTTGAGTTATAGGCTTCCTAGATTGTCGCACAATCAAATACACATGATGGGCCCGAACAGACCTAATAGGCATGTGATGGTCTCAAGCGCCCCAATTGGGAGCTTGGGATTAAACTTGTGCATGATGGACCATCACAAACCTAATAGGTCTGTAGAGGAGTATTTTGGGTAAAAAAAAATTGAGTGTACGCTTAATATTGAGAATAGGTATTTTCAAATTGTTAAAAAAAGATATTCTTATACCTTTTTGGGTAATTGTCAGAAATATACATTGATTTTCGTTTAAATAGCAAAAAAAAATTCTTCGCCTAAATAGAAAGAAAACTCGTACCTTCATTGACCTCGTCTATATTTTTTTTTTTCATTTTTGAAGCTTTTTTTTTTATCAAAATAGTCTTCATAATAGTCATATTAATGTAAAAACATAATTAAGTACCTAAAAAACGTCATTACAGTACTTTAAATACTGTAATGCTGAAAGGCATGATGCTCACCTGGCTCATATTATGTCTTTCAGAAAACCACAACCCATCAGGACAAAACCATCAATTATTATAAAAAGTTTTTAGTACTCAAGCATGCGCACTTTGGAAGGGAGATCCAGGTAGAGCTGTAAGGCCCAGCAACTCATCACTTCACCGGCCTTGTCCCTAAGTCACTCGAGCATTCCAAGTTTCTGGTTTCCTGGTAAATAAAGACCTCATCGATGTGTTTTCTCTTTGTTGTATTGTAAGAAAGAGAGAGAGCGCAGTTGATTCTTTTCTTTTGGGTGGTTCAGCAGTAGACTTGGAACTTGGTAAGTGGTCTTTGCAAAGTCAACAAAATATTAATTCAAGCCCCGAATCCTCAAAGCTTAATATTATGGGCAAAGCGTAAACCGAAGGACATAATTTGAGCCGTGTGGGCATGGCGCCGTTTAGCATAAAGCTACTTAATAGTAGTGTAATGATACCCTTTAACATCACCATAATTTTAGGATTACGGGAAAGCTATTTTAGTAAAAAAAAATAAGAATTGAGAGCTAAAAAAGTATTGACGAGATTAATTAAAAAAAAAATTTCTTATTAGATGAAAATTGAAGTATATCTCTGATAATTTCTCTACTTTTTTTTTACGTTTTTATAATATATTTGAGGAGTCCCCTTTGACCTTTTAAAAATCAGGGAAATTACAAACAACCCGCAAGGCTAGTAAATACCATGCTATGCAAGTTACCTCCAACAAATTTTTTTTCTCGTTTTTTTCTTTAAAATATACTTTTTTAGCAAATCCCCTCCCAAGTAAAAAAAGCATTACATTTTCGACGAAAATACCTTTTTTCATACATAAAAATTTAATTTTAATAAGACATTCACGTGGGATTACATGGGTTGTCGAACCGCTCTTTGACATTGTTGAACTGCAATTTAGATCTATTGCTGGACTTCATGGGCCTATTGTCGAACCGCATGGGCCCATTGTCGGACCGTATGGCCTTATTGCTGGACCGTTATTCATCAGAGCCAGACTGCCATTGTTATTTACTGGACGAACATTACACTGTCGGACTGCCCTAAGAATACGTCGGACCGTCTTTTCGTGGGAAAGAGGTGAGAGAGCCGTGGGTAGAAGTAAGGGTGAGTAGTTTAGACTTTTTTATATTGTTTTTGAGTTGAGAGGTATTTGCTAAAAAATTCTATTTTGGGTAACAAACGAGAAAAAAAGTTTGATTGGATTAACTTGCATAGGAAGAGTGGGGCTATTTGTACTTTTCCCTTAGGACGAAATAAAAGAACTTGAAAAACTATTTAGTAGCTATAAATATCCCTATCCCAGTTTCGTCATTTTAGCGAACAAGGTTAGAAGAGGCTCACTGTAAGTGTAAACTAAAACGCGCCATTTTTCGTTTGAAATGCTGTCTCTAATGGACAAACCGGGGCCAGGATTCAGGGTTTTTAATCTCGTACTGTCTCTGTTACAAACCTAGAATGTGCTCTTGTAAATGGAGAACAGTAGAGCTAGGATTTAGGATCATTGAGAAGTGAGGATTTTCTGCTGCTAGGTTCTGGCGGTAATTGAGGAAGCCGGTGCTAAGGGTTAAGTTTTTTTTTGGATTCTTAGGTTTTTTCTTGAATTAAGTGAAAATGGAGGCTGTCGTGGTGGATGCTGGATCCAAGCTTCTTAAGGCGGGATTTGCGGTTCCTGATCAGGAACCTTCTCTGGTACGTTGTCTGGATTTCGAGTCATCTAGGGGTTTCGATTTTGTACCTCTCTGTGACCGCATGGGACGATCTTGTTCATTATTGTATACTAGTGTCCTTGATTGGGATTTAATGATATTTAATTTTGATTGAGGATTGAATTTCTCATATTGTTGTTTTCTAGGGTTTATGTTTAGTTTGCATGTGAATATAGTGGTTTTTCAATATCCTTGTGACACTAGTTTTATGGAATTTCATTTGATTAATGATTTTAGTCATGAGACAGGAAGTGTGTGGAATTTACCTGCTCTATGTGTCTCTTATTTTTGGTAATTAATTCAGTTATGAGGTGCTTCACTTAACCAAGAGTCATAACTAGAAATCCCTCCCATAGGATGCACATTGGTGCATACAATGACAGTTACAAGTACAGTGATAGAAAGAAATAGAATGTTATCTGCAATCTATTCCAGGATCCATACAATCATACAAGTGTGCAGTGTTGTGGGACCACCACCCAAGTGTGACATGGGAGTGGACATAGAAAGAAAAAAGGGTTTGGGGGTAGGTTTGGGAGTTCTTATTAGGTTAAGATTTAGGAGTTTTAAAGGGTTTAGATTTCCTTCAAAGTTTAGGACAGGGTTTTGGACATATTGGGGTCTCTTACAATGAGTGGAGTGGACGATAAGAGGCCTACGGAGGTAAGATGTAGGCTGGGTCTATTGTGGGGGGTTTAAGGTGAGTTTTAGGGTTTGAATGAAAGGTTTAACGGAGTCTACAGCTCCTGGATATTACAGTCCATCACGATACAAGATTGTAAGGAGGGCATCTAAGGGATAGAAATGATTTGGCGTGGATATATGGGTAGGATTTCCTGGGGGTCTCTTGGGATGATGGACGTGTGATCTAATTGAGCTTCTGGATATTACAGCACAATACAGGAATGAAAGGAGGACACCTAGGGTTGGTTTTGGGATAGAAATGATATGGGTTGGATAATTGGGTAGGATTTCCTCGGTCTCTTGGGATGCTGGACGTGTGGTTTAATTAGGGTTTTGTTAGGGTGACAGGATAGAGAGAGAAATAAAGAAGTTAAAGAATGGAGGAAGAAGAAAACCCTAGTATAAAAAGTCCACACTTTTTGCATTACCAGGCACCAATGTTTTGGCATCTAGACTAATTTAATGATCAACACCTCAGGTTGGAAATTCTCAAATTCAATTGAATAGGCATGGACCCTCTGTCTAGCCTAGTTTGGATCACAAGAAATCTCTAGACTTCCTTAAAGTTCAAACAAAGGAACCTAAGAACTAGATCCTTAATGGATAAGGAAACTAGTCCCTTTACAAAATATGGAATGTACCAAGCTTGTACAACATAACAAAATTGGGAACTGCCTCCAAACTAGGAAAAAAACAAAAACTTACTAAACAAAATACCAAATTTGTAATTAACTAATTAAATTCATCACTACCTTCATACTATCATTTGGGTCTTGAGGTGCCCGAATTAGGGAAAATCCATAGAGATAAGTGTCAGATCTCAAAGTGATATTTGATTTGAGCTTTGGATCACCTTAAACAAACATCTGAGTGAATGTTATGCCCTTTTAAGCAATCTGTTTCGACATTTTCTTTCTCACTTGCTCTTTTTTCCTTCTTTCCGATAGGTAATTTTTATTTCTATATTAAATAGAAAACAAGTAAAAAAGTGAAGAAAAAAGGAACTCATAGAGATGTTAAGTCAGCATCTTAAAGAGTATAAGAAGCCATGTTGACAACCAATACATTGCAACCCAAACCTACTATTACATATTACTCGTAGGACATAAATTAAAGATCTCATAAACGATGTCCACCAACTGCCACAGAGGGCCACAGTCACAAACAAAGCATGTTGCATATTCTCAAAGCAGATAAATAAAATATCTCGTAAACGATGTCCACCAACCGCCAAAGAAAGGGCCTTTAAACTAGCCCCTGTTTTAAATTCTTCTGTACTAATCAACTTTCTTTTCCATTGGGTGAAATGTTATGCGTCGTGAAGCAGTCTGCTTCATGCAGTTTTTGCATATCTGGTTATCCAAAGCGTTGGTTGGATATTGCTTGCTCACCTCTTTCTCTAATTTTATTTTTTTCTTCAATAGGTAATGTTTCTTTAAATTTTATTAAGCAGAAAATGAGTACAAAGCGAGAAAAGAGAAACTCTTGGAGATGTCAAGACGATTTTTTAAAGAGTATGAGGAGCCACATTCACTAGCAAAACATTGCAATCCAACCTACTATTGTACATTTCTCATAGAATATAAATGAAATATCTCCTAAACAATGTTCCCACCCTCCAATGGGTGCCTTCTTATGAGCCCCACTTTGAGTTCTTCTGTGCTAATCAGTTTTCTGTTCCATTTTCTCTAAGTTGATTTTGTTTGCTTTAGGCAGGTTACAATCATATGGATTTGGAGGTTTTTATTTATTTATTTATTTATTAACATATTTTACTTCCTAGTGACTTTCCTTTTTGGCTAGGTTGTCTTTTGGGAATTCCCAATCAGTTTTTACATATGTCTATGCTGGATTTAAGTTACTTCCTGACCTGAATGCAGTGCAGTCTTTAAGTTCAATCACAAAATTTTGCAGATAATTCCTACCAAAATGAAATCTGTACCTGCAGATGGGCAGTCTGCTGATGGAGAGTATGAGGAAGTATTTGTTGACCCAGTTGTGAGGGGATTTATCAAAGATTGGGATGCTATGGAAGACTTGCTGCATCATGTTCTGTACACGTGTATTGGATGGGAAATTGGAAATGAAGGGCAAATTTTGTTTACGGATCCACTTTTGACACCAAAGGTCTGTTACACTTGCATTTAATCCATTTCTTCAATTAGCTTTTTGTTTAGCATATTCATATCCGAACATAACATTTATTTGTTGAAACCATGTCATGTGGCTTTTTGGACAAATGCCGTGTTGTCTATAAATGTAATGAAAACAACGAAAACTTTTATATATCCACATTAATTTTTTCCATTAAATATCAATGTTATTTTGTTACACAACAAGACATTTTTGTGTCCAAGAAAACAATGCATTGGCATCACAGAACACGAGTGGATACGTTGAGAAACTAGAACAAGGTTGAATATGTTAGAAACTAAAGTATCTAACATAATCAATTATTTGAACATAGCATAATTAAAAAATGATGGTCATAAGTTTAGAAACCACCTATGGACTTTTTCTAGATTCGCTCATGCTTGTTTACTAAGAAATGAAGATGAACCATTTGAAAAGTGTGATTTTCAAAAAATTAAGTAGAAAATCAATTGGAGTTTGAAGCAAAGTTTTGAGAAGCAAATTTTGGGGTTTTTGGTATTTGGGAGAAGCTTTAGGCGAATTTGTAGGAGCTTAAGAGGTTTTTCTAGGGATTTGGGTGAGGTTACAGTGGATTTTTTTTTGAATCTTGAGAGGATTTTTTGGGCTTGGTGGGGGTCACAAGGAATGCTATGGCAGGGTTTTAGGTGGCCTCTTGGGGTTTAAGGAGGCTTACAATTAAAATAATTTCACAGAAAATGAGTTAGTCGTCATGCTGATGGTGTAGTAATTTCCTCATTTTAATCTCTTTTTCTTGTAATTATTATGAGAGTGGAGGCTTAGAAATGTATGCTTTCTTTGTTTTGATGCTGTCATGTTGTTTGAGTCATTTCATATGGTTGATTCAATGCTGTGTTTTGCACATGCATGTGAATCATAATTTTAGTAAAAGTTGTTACTGGTATTTAAGTTAGCTGAAATATGGTTCTACAATATGAGGAGATAAAGAAGCTGTCTTATCTGGCAGGTCATGACATGCTTCTTTTGCCCATGGTAAAAGGAAGTGTTATTTTCGCCTTTATAATGTCAGTGGCATTTGTCTGTCATCACTATTGGAATGCATAAATTCAATTTCCCTCTTTGGCATGTTTTAAGAGCAGTCATTATCAATGTTATATGTCATAATAAGTTTATAAAAATGACTTTTTATCATGGTAGATAACATTATTTTTAGCCTTTGCTTTTCCTACTGCTACCATATGAATCTTAACCTAGTATTTATGCCATTATATGAGTGCATGTTTTTGAGCTAGTTTCGGTTTGGAAATATCTTCACCTTCTTACTTTGTTTTTCCTTATTCCCAGACTGTTAGAGAGCAACTAGTGCAGCTGATGTTTGAGACATTTAATATCTCGGGGTTTTATGCATCTGAACAAGCTGTATTATCACTTTATGCTGTTGGACGCATCTCAGGTTGCACTGTTGACATTGGGCATGGCAAGATAGGTACAATTTTGGATGACATTGATATATGTGCTTTTTGTGGAACACAAAACTAATCTCAATAAACAGGAACAGTTTTGGTAAGAGTGGAACTGACAAAGCATAACATTTTCTGACACAATGACTTTCTCGATATGAACTAAATGAAGAATTCTTCGTTTGGTACAATTTTATGGAGTAAATTTCTCTTTTATGGTTTTTGTTTGCTTGGTTCCTTTAATATTTTAGAAAGGAATATATGAGTTCAAATTGGAGACCAGAGATTTGTTTGAAATGTATTAACAGGCATGCATGATTTGATTGTCTTGGATTTGTTCAATCATGTTTATGAACCTGAGAATGAGTATTTACCAATTTCACAGTGTTTGCTTTAGTGTTATAAGAACTTTCTGTGCACATGAACATCTAATTGCAGATCTTTGAATATTTATTGTCCCTTTATTTGTTGTTGATCAAATATGACTTCTATAGCTATTATATATTTCATATCTGTGCATTTGTGTAATTGGTAAGTTAGCATACACTAGGGTTATGCAACCTTTTTGTGATCCTTTTTTCATTTTCCATTTGGTAGTCTTGCAAAGCAAGAAACCCAAAATTGTAAATGTTCGTCCCCTTCTGGCGTAAGAGGCCACTGTGCTATGGGTGGATCTGTTGCCAATCAGTCAAATGTGATGCTGCTGTAGTTCCTTGTGATCGCAAAAGCAGCTTGTGGGTCCCTCCTTTTCTTGTTTTAGTAGCCACTTGCTGCTTGCCAACAATCAAATGGCTGCTTTCTTGTGTAGTTTGTCATTATTGTTGCCTGAGGCCCATTGTAGGTTCATTTATAACCTTTGTCGATTCTTTAAAGCCTTCTTCAGGTCCTCTATCTATTTTATCTGATTTATTTTCTGTGCTTTGCAGTATCCTAGTGAAAGTAAATTAGATTCCATTCGCTGGTTTCTGTTATTATTGTAGACCACAAAGACAAAGCTTTCTACTGTTTGTATATATTTAGTAGCATAGAATTTACCGTTTTTTCTTTTTTCTGATAAATGTTTTTAAGTCTTTCCTTCTAAAATGTTTTTATTTGAGCTGATAGTTCACTATATCCAATTTTATGTAACTTCACCAGATATTGCACCAGTTTGTGAAGGTGCTGTTCAGCACATTGCCTCAAAAAGATTTGAGATTGGAGGTATTGATTTGACAAAGTTGCTTGCTCAGGAACTTCATCAATCCAACCCACAGATCAATCTTGACCTTTCCATTGTTGAGAAATTGAAAGAACAATATGCATGCTGTGCTGAAGATCAATCTGTCTATGAAAATCTGCAGAAAACAAGCCAGGTGGAAAGTCACACTCTTCCAGACGGACAGGTTTGTCACAAGTGTGATTAGCATACAAGAACGTCATTACCCTTTTTACTTGTTTCTTCATGAGAGCAAAATAAAACCCTTTAAGGGAGCAATTGAAGGACATTTCGCTATTTATGTGCATCAAGGCTGAAAGGCTTCAGTTTCATTTTTTTTTTTGGGTATCCCATGCTCATCTGCTACTATGTCGTAGTGCATTGTAATTATAAAAAAAAAACTTCGTGCATTGTAAGGATGGAAATTCAGTGCTACATTTACAGGGCACCTCCCTACAGCTACAGTAACATATTCATCCGTAGCTATCAGAAATAAAAAACTCGCTGATTTCTTTAATATTTGTAGGATTGAAATTTATAATTGTCCACATAAAGATATGCTTGTGTGGTGTGTTTTCCGTTTCTTATAGATATGTGATTTCAATATCTGTGACTTTTAGAAATGTGGGACTTTTAGTGAACTCTTAAATCCTTTCATTCTAGGTCATAACAATCAGAAGGGAAAGATATACTGTGGGTGAAGCCTTGTTTCAACCATCTATATTGGGTATGGACGAATATGGGATTGTTGAACAACTGGTCCGAAGTATCTCAAGTGTCTCATCTGAGAACCTTAGACAGCTATTAGAAAACACAGTGGTTTGTGGTGGTACTGCAACTATGCCTGGTATGCTCCTTCTCTGAGTACTATATGTGTCATGGATATGGGATGGATTTTTACTTGCTTTTGATGGTCATATTCATGATTCACATATTCTAAAATGTCTCCAATGCACACAACCAGAAAATCTGTGAAAAGTTCGTGATTTTGATTTTGATATTTCTTTTGCAAACCGATAATCACCTTTAGCTGAAAAATGACATTGGAAGTTGTTACAAATTGCTGAATCCAGGATCTAGGCTTTCATGGATTTATGAAGTTGCTTCAGTCTCCAGCAACAATATATATATATATATATATATTATCCTACAACTACATATGAACCCAATGGCTCAGATTCAATCTGGACTGATCTAACGAACACAACCTCATTTCATATTTTAATTTAAATTTTTTTCTTCAAATCTAAATCACGTCTTCTCATCGAGGCACATCTAATAAAAATATTAAAAAATTAATTTGCAAAATATAAATTGATTAAAATACCCCTAAAAAGTTTTGAAGGTATTTCGGTCAATTTATTTTTCACAAAAAAAAAATTTATATATTTTATTGGATTCATTTATTTTTATAGAATACATGTCCAAAATTCAAATGATTTAAATTTATACAAAAAAAAATTAAAAATTCGAATACAAAATGCAATCGTGATCATTAGATCGGCTCAGATTCAATCTGAGCCGTTGGGCTAATATGTAGCTGTAGGCTGGTGGGCCTGTGTTATCATTTCCCTATATATATATATATATATATGAAAGATGAGGATGACATGTTAATTTCCAGAAAATAATGGGGAAATTATAACCATGTAAAAAGGGCTTAAAGTAACTTTCACTTGGGGACATTGTACATGGAGTCCTCATTATTATGAAGGTTAATTTTCTGGTCAATTTCAAACAGATAATTTATGTCAGAAATTAAGAAGTCAACCGTACTCTTATCTTCATCTGTGTTGAGTGATTTGAAACATTGGGATGGGACCCAATGCAAGCCATGGTTATGAGAATGATAATGATGTTAAATTGGTCAGTCTTATAAACCTTTGAACGCATTTCCTCCGGGTATTATAATTGGGTTAGCCATCAAAGAATGCCCTTCTAGATGTTGTGAACTATTGATGCCCAGAGTCATTCTTCCACTGATCTGGGGGTTAATTTTGCCTGCCAAAAAGATTTTCTGCGAACAGATGAATTAACTAATATAAGAGGGTCAATTCTTCTAGAGATGTTCTTTGGCCACAGGATGGTTCTTTCCTCGGGCACTCTTATTTACTCCTTCATGCAAAGTTCAGATAGGAAAGCTTGCAGCAATTATCATAAGATCATAAGCTACTATTTGCATCATTTTGGGAATTTCAGGATTTGATGCCCACTTGTTATAGGAAACTGATGTAAAATGAGCTAAAAAGAATATAATTATAGGCGAAGAAACAAAAAGGTAGCTCTCTCTCTCTCTCTCTCTCTCAAGTTGCATGAGTTCCTAGATAATTTTTGAGGTTACAGGTAGCCGCGCTTAAATCGATGCACAAAAAACCCAGCTGGGTCAATTTAAGGATGCTAATTCCTATGAGCTGCCCTGTTTAGGCTTTGAAGAGAGATTTCAGAAGGAAGCAGCTTTGTGCTCATCATCCATTCGTCCCTCGCTTGTGAAGGTAATCCTTTTCTTTTTTCCCCATCATTCCCATTTAGCCTTACCTTAAAAGATTTCAAGAACGAGATTTGCAACAGCTGCTACGAATTTACGTTTTCATTTCAGGCTCCTGAGTACATGCCTGAAAATTTGATAAAGAATTCAGCATGGATGGGAGGAGCCATACTGGCCAAAGTGGTTTTCCCTCAAAATCAGCATATCACAAAGGCCGAATATGATGAGACTGGGCCAACAATTGTCCACAAGAAATGCTTTTGATGGATTTGGCTTTGCTCCTTTGTGCGTTATATCGAGGCATATGAGGATTTTCAAATCTTCTGAGAATAATATTATGATGGGATACCTTTTTGCTTTTGATATTCCTGTATGAACTGTAAAACGCATGAATCATCTTCCTTGAGCACCCAGAGATACGAAATTATAGTGTTTGGCGACTAATACGCCCAGTCATCCAATTTTACATTTTTCATGTAAACTCCGACTGCTTAAGTTGTGTCATAGGGTGAAATTCTGTTTTGGAATTTGTGCTCAGTCGACTACACACCAACAGTCATCCAATTTTACATCTAATAGTCAATAGCAATTGTGATTTTCTGATACAAAAAATAAATAGTCGTATTATACATATTTCCTCAATTCTAATGTTATACATCATAAGATTTGCTTGAACTATGAATTAGGGAATCAAACCCCAATTTCCAACCTCAAAAGAAAACCATGAAGTAAAGGAAAAAGGCAAGAGAGGAAATCTTCTTCAATATTCCTCCTTAGACGGTTTAGCTTCTTCAAGGAGTTCTTCGGAGTTCCCTCAGGGAATTCACGTAACTATAACTCGACAACAGCACAAACAGCTTTCTAAACCTGCATAACAAAAAACTGAAACCGGTTGGTAAAATAATTCCAAGTAAGTTAGATGCAGGTTTACTTTTTTTCTTTTTCTTTTTTTGAGGGAAAAGTAATGTTTTAAACTGAGTTTCAAGACTACATACCACACCCATTGGCTTTTATGCTGAGCCATTGCATTGAAGGAGACAGTAGGATGCGCATTCACAAAGCAATGCACCTGCCCTTTCTGGTGAAGGAGAGAATGCAACATTGAACACCAGATGTCTACTGGGCCACAATATTTCCGCACAATGTTTGTACTAACCTGCAACATTCAATCATATGAATCCGTCAAATACCAAGACGTTGTAAACCCCCCAGTTGGAGTGGATGAGCAAAACCTACTCTCTCTCTCTCCCCCAAAATACTGATGAGAAACAACGCTCGCATTCACCACGGCATTCACATCCAAGGAAGCCCATCAGGCCCATAATTAAGTCTACAACATAAGCAAATAGCCAGTATGATGCACAGGAATGGGGGAGGAGAGAGAGAGAGAGGTTATAATGTTTTTAGACATTTAAGGAATAAGGTAACATCGTTATTTAAAAGGTGTGCTAGGGCGCGGCTGTGGCCACACTCCTGGAAGTACAGCCACGGTGCCATGCACCATCTGTTTCGAAATGCATTACCCGGATTCCTAACACGCAGTCATTTAGGGAGGCTTCAGCCACAGCCGCACTCCAATACATGAGGCCATGGCTATGCAGAAATATTGCCATTATCTAACTAAGACTATTGAAATGCAATAACATTAATACCTAAATTTTAATTTTTTATTTTGAAATTATTATACAAATGCAAATATTTTAGTTTAAATTAGACAAGCTTTTCTATTTTTAAGATGATGGTAAACGCAAAAACACGATAGCTTTTGAGTGGTTTGAAAATAAAAAGGGATATTAGTTATATAAGTAATTTTAAATAAGGGTGTTCCTGAAAATAAACAAATTCAAACAGTAGTGGTTTGAAATCTGACACACGACCAACCCTCAAACCCACATTTAATGTATAAAGAATAAACTAGCACTTGCTTTCTCATGCATGTACCCCCATAATCAATGGGAGTGGACATGACATAAGCACCAAACTGTTGAGAGTTCAAAAGAAAAAAGAAACATACAAGTTCCCAAGCCAGGGTGTTTGCCCACATACTGTCCCTCAAAAGCAAGCTGTCAAAAACAGTTAGATCGATGAGCATAGATGCTTATCTTATGGAATTGTGCCAAATTCATATGCTTTTTATAATTGGCAATTTTCAAGTGAAACAAACATATTTGTGTGCTACTTGAAAGGACTTGATTAATTCATATTTTCTGACAAATATCCACTGAAGAGTAATGGAATTAAGCATGAGAAACAATTTTTTGAACCTTGTGTTCCTTGCCCTTATTCATGGTTTTTTGAACCTTGCATTCCAGCCTATCCATGGTTTACCAATCTCTACTCAAATGAGCTGCATTTTCCCATTGCACCCAATCCAAAAATTTTCTCATTGTTATGTTTGCATAAGGGATACATTGTCATATAAAGGAATTTAGACATTACAATGGAGAATATCCCAGTAAAAAAGGACAGAGTGAGCAACTACATTTTTACTAATTAACTATAAAATTCTTTCATCAATGTATAATACCCAATAAGAAATTAAGAAAGAAATAAAATTTTGATATTCAAAGAGCAAAATCTTTCTTTAAGAACGTCCTCTAGTTTCTCTTTAGAGATGTAAGACCCTTTTTTTGAAGAAAACTTTTTTTTAATAAATAAATGATTACCATACCCACAATATCAGAGCACATGCTCACATAACCAAAGGGAACCATATATTCATATTTAATCAATGGACAGCTCAGATAATCAATGAAAACAGAATAAGATATACCGACCGTATTCCACGATGAACAGCACAATGGTTTGGGTGACCAGACACTCCATAGTTATCAAATGTAATCAACTGATGGTAAAGAGAAAGAACATGTGAAAATACAACATACATGATAGATTTATTTCGCTGAAATGAGTTCCACAAGAAGTGATAGATTAGAAGATACCGATGTCATTATCCAGCCAATGGAAAGTATGTCCCTTGTGGTTTAATGAAAACTCACCACATCGACATCCCAAGATTTGGCTTCTTCTCCTATAATTGTTGCAAGTAAAGTATGCCTCCAAGTTCTGTTGAATCCATCCTATTCAAGACCATTATGTGCTAAATCAACATTTACGAGAACAATTAGCTACAAATACCACAACCCATGTGACTTATGAAGCCAAGCTAAAAAAGCAATCATTTAACTTTTACAGCTTGTAGGACATGGCCTCACCTGTAAAGAAGCATGGTTTATGATTTTGACATTTTGGATAGGTACCTGAGGCAATAATATAATATTCTAATTACTCTTTGTGGATGCGTCATTAAAATAAAGGATTATGTTAGGGTACTCATACATATGAGTATTTCTTTAAGGTACTCGGCATTTTTTGGCACTTGATACCTTTATCCTACAATGTAGTAATTTTTTTGTCTAGAGGTATTTTAGGTAATTAATCAGGGGTAAAATAGAAATTCTTGATAGAAAGATAAGTATTTATTAATTATAATGGAGGATGACATCATCCATTTGAGGTATGACACCACCCACATGGAATAATAATTGCTTCTTAACCACTAGTAAATTGTCACTAGTTTCTTATAGAAATATTTATCCTTCTCCTAATGATGAAAAATGCCCTCAAAAAATTTGTATTACAAATAAGGGGCAATGAGTGTAAAAAAATTGTTGCGTATATTAAGAAAATACTCATATGAGTATCCTAATATAACCCTAATATAAACTGCTCTAATAATACTCGAGTAAGAGTAATTGGAAGTTACTTTCAGAACAGTGCATGCACAATATAACTCTTCGCTCCGGACAGATCCTTTGCCGTCAGCATCGCCTACAAAAATACAAAGCAAATATGAAGGGCATCTAGGTGTGCAGACTGCAGAACAAAGGGAAAAGTAATTATATAATGGAATATTTTTTTATGAAATTTATCAGGGAAAAATGAAGCCTAGAAACAGAATAGGAGTAAGAAATGCCAATATATGCCCCTAATGGAAAATCCATAATATCATGGAAGAAAGTTTTTTATTACTTTGATCAAGGAACTACATAAACAGAGTAGGTGAATTGAATGACATCATTGCCGATATATGCCAAGGATATAACAGAGTCAAGGGATATTTGAGTGTCAAGAGATTATGGGGCACAAACGCAGGTTGAACAATCCCTGAATGTAACAAACGCTTGACCTGATTTTTGACAGGGTCCAGATGGGATTCACCCCTCTGCTAGGCAGAGAAAATAGAAAAGAAAAAAAGTGGGGTAACCATATCAAAAGAAAAGATAATATTATTATTGTGTGTTAACTATTTCCAACCTATTGCTAGGATGCGCCAATTAGTTACAATGCCTATTAAAGAAACCCTTGTTCTACATTCGAGGATACATTGAAAGCGCGCCCTGTGAAATAGGTGGCAATAGGTAAACAAGAGATGGGGGCAAGTGTTAAGCCCAAATCACAAGTGAACCCTGTAAGATGAAGGTCAAAACCTCAAAAATAAGACCGAAGCCTAAGAAAGAAGGTGAAATCCTCAGAAAGAACGCCAAAGTAACTGCTGTATTGAATAAGAGACGATGTACAGATTATCAACAAATAGGCCACCCACAAGCCGAGGGCCCTATACAAAAACCACCGAGAAGGTGGTAGGAGTCAAAAAATGCAACACAAACATAGAGAACAGGAAAAGCCCAAAAAACCCCAAAGACCAAAGAGACACAGCGCCAGGGTCTTTAATCTGCTGTCATGGTTGCTCCTCTAGCGACGGCGTCTGCTGTGTGGTTTGCCTCCATCCAGCTATGAATCCATGAAACGGGAATGTGCCTGCAAAGGTCAAAGATCTCATGAAACACATGACTCCAAGGGCGGTTGGCTGCACCTGAGGCCCAAAGGATGACGCTATTGGAGGAGTCTCCTTCCACGACTAAATTTATACTCCAAAGGGGATTGAAAAGCCTGAGACCCTCCAACAGGGCGAGAGCTTCCACCAAGGTGCAATAAGTGCAGCCAACTGATTTGGCAAGGATAGGAGAGAAAGGCCTAGATGGTTCCTGAAGATGCCTCCAATGCTGTCCGATCCCGCGTTGCCAAGGGAGCAACCGTCGAAGTTGAATTTGGTGTCTCCGACTTCTAGGGGTCACCAATGAGATGGGCAAGGAATAGCATTTGACCTCAGTGATAGGAGGGATCGCTAGTTAAGCTAGAAGTCCGAGGCTGAGAGATGCTTGAAGGTGCGATGACTCTGCAACCAAAAAATGACCATGGACTTGAGGTTGTCCCTGAGGCGTGCATGGGGGAGGAGCGGCCTCTGAAGATGTGATTGTTGCGCTCAATCCAAATGGCCCATAGGGTGGCAGCCATATAAGCCTTCAAAGTAAGATACCAGATTTGGCCCAGGGGAGGAATTGTGTGTATAGGAGCTGGTGCGGCATGGACCTGGGGGTGATCCAGGACCACTGGAAGAGTTGCACTAGGTCCTTCCACAAGGAGGTCGAAACGCTGCAGTGAATGAAGAGATGAGAATTTGCCTCCTCATCTGCTAAACACATTACACAATGGTTTGCGATAATAAGACCCTCCTTTGTAATTGGTCGACAGTCAGCACCCTCCCGGAAAGGGCTATCCAAGTGAAGAGTTGTAGTTTGGTAGGGATAATGGAGTTCCAAGCTTTACCGACAAAGTGGAGGGGTGAAGTGGGGGTTTGAAGGGAGAGGAGATGATGGTAGAAGCAGAAACCGTGAAGGATCCATCTGCCATGAGGGACCATATGACTTGATCCTCCCCATGAGTGGAGAAGTAAGTGGAATTAAGGATTTCTGGATGAAAGCTTGGACCTCATCGTCAAGGAGGGTTCCCCTAAAGTCTGGATTCCAGAGGCAAGAAGAGCCCACCATATGGAAAGAGTCTTCGACTGTAACTTCGGCGTTTCTGGCCAGTCGGTAGAGATTGGGGAAGCAATCTCTCCAAGGGGAATGGCCAATCCAAAGGTCAGACCAGAACTTGACTTGGTTGCCCTTCCTCATGTGAAAAGCAATGATTGAACTTGAAGTGGTGATGCAGTGTAGAATCAACCTCCAAATGCCTGAGCAAGAGTTATAAAAAGTGTTAGGTGGTAACCAGGGATAATCTAAAAGGTGGTATTTATGGTGGAGGACGGATTACCATAGGTGCCCCTCTTGAGATGCCATGCACACCATCATTTTGCCTAGAAAGGCCAGGTTGTTCTTTTTTGAGAGATTGGGTCATTGGATACCTAGACCGCCTTGGGCCTTGGGTTACACCTTGTTATCTAACTGAGGGAACAAGCATGAATGCACACAGTCAAGGTCCATGGCGGATGAGTGCACACAACCAAGTCTATATCAAACCTTGAAAAGCAGTCTGAGACCTACATCTAAGGATTTTGAACCTTATGGAACAAGTATGAAAGCAAATGATCTTCCTTGACAGAGAAGGGTTGCCTGCAAACAAGCAACTCACCGACTTGATCAAAGGATTTGGAACTTTGGAAATACAAGGCTTCAAGCCCGTAAAAATGCGTCAATGCACACTAAATTCAATGAACCTGACACGAAAGGGTGAGCACCAGCTGTATTTACAAACATAGCTCAAACTATCCATCAAATTATTTCAATCTAGCTCAGCTAAAGACTTAAAAACACAGCCTGCCAAGGCTTGCCCTGAGCTTGGCAACACAAGTTCAAAGTGTCAAGCCCAAAATTATAATTAGCCTCAAGCCAAGGATTTAACCTCATAAATCTGATACAGCGGGAAAAAACCGAGTGTTAAGGTAGAAATATAAGACTTGAACTTAGGCAAGGGATTAAACAGTTGTGAACTTCATTCTCAAATAAACAACTATGTCCAGCCAACCCAATTTGCTCTCCTGCAAAACAGTTGTAACTTTTCATGAACAACTCCAATTGACTTTATTTTTTAAGCAATGGAAAGCTTACACAATTCTCATATCATAGTGGTGGTTGGGGCACATTTTGGTTTCATAATTATGTGTGAGATGTAGGATACAGAAGTGTCAAGGGCTCCAGGCAGTGAATTTTTGCGGGCCAACAACAATAACCTTGATTCAGTCAAACTCAAATTTATCCAATGAATTATTAACAAATATAGCAATGCGTTAACATAACCTTCTCTTTAACAGAAACACTACCAGTTGAAATGCATAAAATGTGAAGGTTATGACCAGCCGAAGTCAGTTTTATAATGGTTGGGATGAAGAACCTGCAAAAACAGAATAGCTTGAGTGCAAACAACTTGGCGAAAAAATAGATTAAATTGAAGTACTCAAAAGCAACAAGTAATATTGATTGTGTACTGTGTACAGAAAGATGATCCTATTTGGGCTGTGAGTGCTCTAACCATGTCAATAATTTAAGGTTCAATAGAAAGATTATTGAAGAAGTGCATTTATGAATGCCAAAAGAATATATAAAAATTGTATTAAGGGTGGGAGATTTTATGAATTTTTGGCTTAAAAGGTTTATAACTTTATCTACAATAGGGGAGAGCATGTCACACCCATCATTTTGGTAGTCAAATCCACAAATACGGGTGAAAGCACTATCAAGATATTCTCACCCATGTTTGCTGATGAGACTATCAAAAAGATGATTGCAACTTGCAGTCCTCCAAAGCAATTAATTGATATTTACACCGATTTGTTGTCTCTCCCAATTAGAGGGATTATGCAGTGGGAAATCTTTTTTTCAAGATAGTAAACTATCATTTTTAAGGACCTTCGAAACTGTTACTTCGGCCTTGCCTTTGCAATTGGAACTCCAAAAGGCAGCTAAGGCAGTCGATGTTAGATGGCCATTGTGGAAAAGCAATATCCTATCCTCTACGGGGTGTATCACCCTAGTTAAAACAACCCAATCAAATCCTCATGCTCATTATGTCTGTATTCTGTAAGGATTGTAAACTCCATATGAATTTTCTTTGGAAAGGAGGGAACAGAGCAAATAGGTTACAGGGAAAATAAGTTTTGGCTTGACCAGTGGAAGGACGTTTGTGGGCCGAAGGACCAAGAAAAACCTGGTATCATAGATGAGATTTAATCAGCATTTTTTTTTTAATTACCAAAATGGATATGCGGGTAGAGGTATGCGGTGGAGGATGTTTGTTTATAAAGAAGGGAGTGACGTTTGAGATGGCAAATAGAAAAAAAAAAATGAGCAAGGATTTGGAGTTTGATATAGGGCATATCAAATCAAGGAAAGACACCAGGAGTGGTTATAGGAGATGGACCACGGTATCAATTCTAGTTGGACAACTGGTGCTAAGACATCCCGAAGACTCGAATCCTAGAATCAGAATTGGAGCAAAAAAATTGGACTGAAATGGATGAAAGTTATCATAAGGATGATCATGGAAGAACTTGGATGCCAGTCCTCACGAGGAATACACATGAAGTAGAGGAACTAAAGGCGGCTGGGATTACTTAGAAGGTTTACGACATTCGCAACTAAATGGCTTTGGAGGAATGGATCTGGTACAAAGTTCTCTGATTTCTAATGGATAAGAATAAAATTCCAACAATTGGCCAGCTTTAGTAAACAAATTTAACTAGTGCTCAAGGATGAAACAATCGATCACTTGATTCATTATGGGTAGAACAATTCAATGGGGTTAGCTGTGTTTGAGTTCTTTGATGTAGGTGTGCTTACGCTTTACTAGTTTTCCTCTTTGTTGCAGTGGTTGAGCAGAGCACCTTGGCATAAGGGTCAGATACATCTACATAAAGGGAATGGTAGGTTGCAAGGAGAGAAAAAGCAGAAGTTATGCTTCTCTAAGAATGAGTCTGAAAACCAAAAGGGGACGTAAGAACCAAAGCCATTTTGAGCCGTACAAAGTAGCCTAGTAGCATGGAGGTCCTCATCTCTCAGACTTAAGTATGCATGCTATATATATATAAAGTTACCCCAGGATGCATGTTAAAAACCCACATTTGCGAACCAAAAGATTAAAATGATGAAGGTAACTGAGGTATGTAAATTTCATGTCTTTAACTCCTCTAAAAACTTCCTATATTCTACTGAAATTAACTGTTGCTCAAAACACAAAGTACAAACTGTTACAAATACTAATTTGTTGCTTCTAAATTATATGTAATAAATCTATGGGACATAAAATTCCTCACAAACCTTTACACATTTTTTTGAACCAGAAGCATGCAAATACATAGTGAGATTGCATATGTGTTGGCCCACTGCTATAAAAGTTTATAGCCACAAACATGAGCATGTTTGGAACTTTGAATGTACTCATTGTCACTGATAATTCAGTTTTCTTTTCAAAAGGATCAATCGCGATAATGAGTTATTGATTTGGAATTCTCCATCATAAGCTTGTTTGAGAACAACTCGTACACAGTATATAAGTTAAACTTTTGAAAAGTTAGATAAAAGCAAATATAAGTTTGACAGATTCTTACATAGATTCATCATCAGGGTGAGCAATAACCAGCAAAATGTTCATTTTTTTTGTAATATCACCAGCCCCTACAGAGTAAAACAAATGATACCATAATCAACAAAAGCTACAATTTAGAGTTTGCTTAAACATGTATTGCTCATATTTTCCACTCACCACTTGATAAAAACAGGGTTCCATTTCGTCCACTCAATCCATAAAGAACCACAAAAAATGAGACCACCCATAAAATTATGAGCATGCAAATACCCAACCAAACCATTTCTACAAACACATAAAGACACAAATTAGGAACCAAAAACCAGCAGGAACAAAGGACTGAATGAATGAAAATTAAATGACCAATAATAAAAATAATCAATTTAGGACCAAATGAATGATAATCCTCATAGAAAATAAAAAATAAAAAATAAAAAATTTGAGAAAAAAAACCCAATTGATAAGCATATTCAGAAGTTGCAGAGGCAGAGACACTGCAGAAAATAACTTCAACAGAAGGGACAGAAGGGAAATGTGAGCTTCATAAAGTGTGATGGAGAGATGAAGATCGACGAGCGTGGCACCATCAGTAGTACCCAGATAACAGTAATTAAAATTTAACAGTATGTGATTTCTTACCAAAAAGAAGGAAAAAATCAGCATTCACACAGAAAGCCAATCAAATGAAGCACTTAGCAAGGATTAAGCATGGTGATAAACCAAGAGAAAGAGGCACCCCTGTCACCAAGCTTAGATCGCAAATTCAGGAATAAACCCAGTGAGACAGAAGGGCGCAATAGAGAGAGAGAAGAGAGAGAAATTAGAGAGAGAAAGAGAGATGAGTAAGGGAGAGGGATTGGAGGGGAGTCGTATATTCGCCGAAAAGAAAAATGGGGTTGGAAAACATTTACCCATGAGGTCACAGCTATCTCTGGCCATTGGATTTAAATTGGATGGCTTGAGTTAAGTAACAAATTTGGAGATCTTTTGAAATAATTGTGTGCACATACTAACAATCATCCGATTTTTTTTTGGGCAAGTAACAATCATCCAATTTGACTTACGATGAACAGAATTACGACTTCTTTGAACTCAAAATAAATCGTCTCTTTCTATATTTTGTAAAAAAAATTATGGAAATATACTTAGGTCATGTTTGGATGAAAATTGATTTTAGATAATAAATTATCTTATTTAAAATTAATATAATCCACATAGTATTATTTTGGGAGCGTCGACAAAAAAATTATTTTCATGTCCTTGGTTTTCAAATTTTAAAATTTATTTTTCCTAGAGTGTGCCGGACTTTCAAAATTCGAACCAAAGTATTAATAAATTGATTTGAAAATTTAAATTCCAAACCAATTTTTTATCCACATTTTGGTTCAAATTTTGAACCGGAGTGTCGACAAAAAATTGGTTTGGAGTCACTTTTTTTTTCCGATTTGTTAGTAATTTTGTTTTCGATTTTGAAGTCTAAAACAATGGCATTTTGAAAAAATAAAAAATCAAAAGACTACGAAATGGGCATAGATTACAATATATTAGGGACAATTTTTAATTTCAATAATTGAGAAATTTAGCATAGGTTTCCTACATTCCTACAATTTAAATAACATTATATATAATACAAAGTTCTTGCTAAAAGGAATTGTCTATAAAGAAATCATTTATCTTTGAAAAAAGTTTATATAAGTGCGAGGTTCTGGACAATTAAATTAGAGCGCACTTCAAATTCTCACTATAAGAGGTTGTTTTGAAGCCCAAATATCCTCAAATTGATCATCTCGACATCAAGACGCATGTACATAAGAAAAATTTGGATTTCAAGTTTTCGAAAAAATGTATCTTGTAATGCATTTTTTTACTGTAAGTTTTCAAGATTTTCAAGTTTTCATCTACACTATTGTTTAAGCTTGAAATTTTATAATTAAAGATCACAAAGATTTCCAGTATTGAAACCACACTTCTCGACACTACTTGAAGGTGAGTTTTATTTTGATTGTTTAGAACGTCGGCTCTATACAAACCGCACCCATAATACAAAGTTCATGCTAAAAAGGATTGTCTAGGCTATTTATCTTTTGTACATGAAAATCACAATCATTATCAGTCATTAGATGGAAGATTACATAGCTTAATGTGAATCACCAAATTCAAGAAATTTTTTTTTTTTCTAAAAGTTTGTATCTATTCAATAACTCTTTTAGGACCATCCGCTTTAAAATTTAAAAGACAATAGTGATTGTGACCCACATAGAAAAGATAAATGGTCTCTTTATCGCTAATCCCTTTTGAAATATGAGCTCACGAAGGAATCGGAGAGAAAAAGAGAAGAGCGTTGGATAACAGGATAAGTGGTTGATCATTTAGTCCTAAAGGGAAGGCAAAGGACTTTAAAAATATGTTATGCCTTTAAAAACGTGACATGCTCAAGGCTCTCTAGTGTATGTGGCAGTGGGGCCCAAGCAAAATGGGTAAATAAAATAAAAAAGATGGAAAATAAAATAAGTTAAAATTATAATAAATAAGAAATATCATGGGAACGAGCTCGCCCAATTTTATTTGACAAAACTGGGCTGGTTCTCTATTTTGGGGGAACCAAGCCAACCCTTCAGTTCCCGATCTTGCCCATTGATACTCAATTCAGATTGACTGGTTCCGATCTGAATCTTTATTTTTTAAACCCTGATTAGAGCAATGGAACTTCAATCCTTATACCTCTCACGTTAGATTTTATTTCAATATCTACATACAGAGAACTTGAAGATAGTCTGGGTTGGTTTTTTGTGCAATTAGTAAATGGTTTAGAAATAATTTTGTTTTTTCTACTTTTTAGATTAGGAGGTATGCCTGCATGACACAATTAACCTTTAGATAAATCATAAAACATAGTTCTGGTCAATATTTTATTTTATTTTTCCTCTAATTATATTTTAATAGGAAGAAGGCATTGAATTGGATTGAGCTAAACTACCCTAAACCCCCCTTTTTCTATATAATCTCCCAGATTGTATAGCATACTGAACTCTCAAGTATGGCGCAATATAGAATACAGAATAGCTAGACCTGAAAATAGGTAAGGAAAAAATTTATATAAGGTTGCAACCTTATACTATTGCAGTAAGGTGCACCTTAAAAATCCTGCACAAGATAGTTTTCCAACGTTGGAGACCCTACAATTGGTCATCTCGAATTCGAGATATATGGAAATAAAGACAAAAAAATATTTCAATTCCAAAAAATAGTACATCTAATAAAAAGTTATATGGACAGTCTATTTTCAATATTTTCAAGTGTTTATTGATCTACTTAATCTGTACCATTTTTAAAATTCTGAATTTTATAATCATGGATGAAAATAGATTTTCAAGCCATCATAAGCTTTCCAACAATATCTCGAAGCAAATTTTAGAGGTGCAACTTACTTCTATAGTATAAGGTGGCAACCTTATGCAAACCTCACCCCATAGGTCAAGAGAGATGGATTATGCTCCTCTTTTGCACCGTAGATATTGCTTGGCCCTGATATTCATAAAAAATGGCAAGGATAATCAGTTCAAAATTCATAAAAGGAATTTTCCCCTCAATGGTTCCAAAAAATAAACATGAAACCATTACCTCAACTTTCAGATTCAAGAAAAAATGGAAGCAATCCTATGCCTAATGGATTCTAAAAATTGTATAGAAACACTACTAATCTCCAAATTTCACAAAAAAACGGCAATCCAAAAATTTCACAAAAAAGCAATAAGCCCTACCAAAATGGATTAAAAAAATTAACATAGAAAACAATACTCAACTCCAAATTTCCAGAAAATGGCATGAACTACTAAGCTCCAAGACATCTTAAAAATAAAAAAGACACCACCTTTCTCAAATTTCACATAAAAAAACAGCTATGAAACCTTCATAGCTCTAAATTTCACAAAATTAGTATCATTCAAGAAACAAAGATAGAGAGTGATAATAAAGTGGGGGAACATAGAACTTCTATTATGTAGGGGGAACATAAAAAGCTTCCCCCTTAGGAAGGGAAAGTTCCCCCTCCATTTCATCAAACACCTTACGAGCATTTCCAATCTCGCTACAATTTCAGTACAAATCGATCAGTGCAGTTCCAACAAAGACCTTAGAATTCAAACCCCATTTCACAAAATTAGTATCATTCAAGAAACAAAGATATAGAGAGTGATAATAAATAGCTTCAAATTTTACAAATAATGCTAAAGAGAGAGAACAAAAAGCTATAAAATTCACAAATGATGCTACATAGATTACTTTAAAACATAGGCAAACATACATCTAAAATTAAATAAAAATAATAATTGAAAAATATCAAACCTGCAAATTAACGGCCAAGATGAGAGCCTTGGGTGCTGACCTAGAGGCCTGGGCACGACAAAGAGCAGACCCTGTTTTCGGGATGACCGCGTTGCCTCTTGCTCGCCTTTAGACTCTCTCTCTAGGATATTCCTACCCTAATCCTCTGAAAAACAAAATCTTTCTTCAAGAACCTCTCTCTCCCTCTTTTAACGGTGCGTGCTCTCTTTCTCCTCTCCAAGAAGCCCTCTCTCCCTCTAATCTGCGTGCTCTCTCTCTCCTCCAATAAACCCTTCGGTTGGGGTGTTTTCAAGCATTTATTCAAGAGAGAAAAAATAAGGTCATGGGGTACTGGTAATGGAGAATGGGTAATGGAGATAACAATGTTTTGGAGGTGGATTTTAGTCCTCCTGATCTGCGTACTCTATCTCTCCTCCAAGAAACCCTCTCTCCCTCTGATATGTGCTCTCTCTCTCCTCCAATAAATCACGCCCGTTTCTTCTCTCGCGCTCTTTTTCTCTCTCCATAAAAATGGGTTACTCTCTCTTTAGTATGGACTTATTTTAAAATGGGTCCCCCGTTAACCCGTATCTCTATTTTTATGGATTTATTTTAAAGTGGGTCTGACCCGTATCTCTATTTTTATAGATTTATTTTAATGTGGATCACCGGTTGAACCGTATCTCTATTTTATGACAATTTGAGTGAATGAATGTCGGCCCTCTTAAAATGCAGGAGAACAAAGCAAGCTTTATCAAGAAAATGCCTCTACTCACTCAAATGGCACCGTCTCTTCCCTCAAATCCATCAATTTCGTCTCTCACCGTTGTTTCTCACCCTACATTCTCTTCTCACTAAATGTATACCTACATTTTATTTCCTTGTCTTTCGAAAACAGACACATGGCTTCCTCTCTCAATTTAACTTTTGATATTCACCATCCATTATCTTCCCACTAAATATATGCCTCTATTCAAAACACACACATATCTCTCTCTCTCAATTTTGATATTTTTCGTAGCTAATTATGTTTTAGGTTCTCGAGATCAAAGCTCGCACTTAATAATTTCTAAATAATTATTTCGGTGTTGTACTTATATATATATATATATATATGTATATATTCCGGTGGTGCACTTTTTTAAAAAAAAAAATGTTAACGATGGAAATGGAAGGTAAGACATTATGTTGAGGCAACCTCAATCACCGAGTCCCCAAACCCCAATCCATATTTTTCTTGTATCCCCCTATCCGTCTATGCCTCAACCCCATTCCCTACGATGGTGGAGTACTTGCCTCACATGCTAGACTCTAGCACAACCATTTGTACATTACTCCAATAAAATTGTTTCATGCGGGTTGGACCACATTTTTACATATGTGGTCCAAAAAGTAAAAAGCATCAATTTTAAAGATGGATACAAGTAGGTATTCTATCTAACAATAATAGAAACTAATGATCTACATGTTTTCTTACTATAATTATTATTTATAGTTTTAAAAAATTATTTGTTTTTCCATATTCATGGTCTTCATGTTAGAGATTACATGTCCTTAAAAACTAAGTCCTAAAATCCATCTCAAAAATATATTTATTAAGAAGCCCGCGTTTCTTCATATGCGGGCTTGGCTGCATAGAAACCGGTCCTTTACTCCATTGGGCGACAAACCTACTTAGGAGGATTGGTATGATATGAAATAGTTGGTATGTGGAATAAATAAATTAATTGACTATTTGAAATCAATGATTTTTAAGTTTTAGTGTGTAGGGACCAATCGAGTCACTCGGCTTTGGTACCGTGGGAAGGCGAGTTTTTGTGCCCAAGTCGCATTTCTTAAAATCCCTTAAAAATTACCAAAAATACTAACATTTGACTTAGAATATATGTTTTTGTATTTTTTTTTGGTTTTTAATGATGATTTGTGAACCTTTATTATTACATGCTTTTAATTTTTAGGAAAAGTATATAATGAGATCATTTATCTTTGGTACAGAATGGCCATAATTGGTCTAGATTATTGGATGTGGAATTAAGTGGCTGCATTTATTTTGTTGATCAAGCTCAAAGTTCAAAATAAATTTTTGAACTTTGTAACACACCCATGCTATCAGATTTCACATCGGATGATTGTAAGTAATTTTGACCCCCATGTACCGAAGGTAAATGATTTCATTATATACAATCCCAACCTTTATTGTTTATTTTTTAAAATGTTTCTAAGTATAAATCAAAATTTTCAATAATTCATCTTTTACATGATTTTTTTTATTTTTTTATCGACTTCTAATGATTTATAGTACCAATTTTTAATGAATCCGAGTACTTTTTTTTTACAATTCCTATTTGACCTTTTGAGCCTATTTGGTGTTGTGGAGGACTAGGCTTGTAACACAGCTCAGGCCAGGGTTGCATCGGAGGCCCAAGTTGCGTTTCCTAACATTGCCTTAGACTATTACTTTGGACGATCTTGAAAATGCGGGTTGGACTACATTTCTACAAAATGTGGTATAGAGGCATACAACGTCCATTTTTAAGATGGACATAAATAGGCAGTCTATCTAGAAACAAGTGTAACTAGCAGTCCAAATGTTTTTTAATAAATTATTATTTATAGTTTTTTTTAAAAAAAAATTTATATTCATGATCTCCATGTTAAAAATTATATAGCATTTAAAAATTAGGATCAAAATTATATCTAAAAAATACATTTACTACCAAGCCCACATTTCTACAATCTACGGGATGAATGCATAAAACCCGTGTCCAAATTTCAGTTTTATGAAGTATTTTATTTTAAGTAAATATAGTGCATGTGACCATCATGGGCGCTGCATGGCACAAAATTCTAAAGGGCGTGGATTGTATAGAGGCTCTAAACAATCAAATTGGAGCCTATCTTCAAATAGTGTCGAGAAGTGTCATTTCAATATTGAAAATATTTGTAATAGCTTTAAAATATATTTTTATCTTTAGTTATAAAGTTTAAGGCTTAAAAAATAATGTAGATTGATAGATATATAAAAACTTGAAAATCTTGAAAATTGCAGTAAAAAAATGCGTTACAAAATAAACTATTTTCAAAACTTGAAATCCATTTTTTTCCCATGTCTATGCATCAAGATGTCGAGATTATGAAATTGAGGATCTTTGGGCATCAAAACAACCTTTTCTAGAAAAATTTTCAAGGTGGGCTCTAATGTGACTGATTAGAGCCTCCATCTATATAAACTTTTATCTTTAAAATATGGATGAGGTTTAAACCTATTTTTTTAGGCCAAACAAATGTAAAAAGACATGCATTTTTAAAAGCCATCCTCTAAAACTTTTAGAGAGAGATAAAGGCTTCATGGGGTGAGAGGTTATTGGAAGGAGGAGAGAGGTGTTTAAAAAAACACAGGAGGAGAGAGAAAGTGAGAGATAAATAGATAAGTTTGGAGTATATAAGTGAAGAGAGAAAATATTGGGTTTACAAATAGCATATATTTCTCACATTTATTTAGGTTAAAAAATAGGTTTAAAGTGGTCAGGGGCTTCGAATATATCTTTTAAAACATTGGGTTTACCATGAAATGAAACATAAAAATAAGGGATATGGAGATATTTTTCCTTCTATAAAGCCTAGGCATCATGAAAACAAAATAAAACCTTATATTAAATCTTCATCCGGAAGCACGTTCTGCAACAGAAATCTCTATGATGGCTTTAAAATCAATTTTCCAATATCTAAAATGAACTTTAAAACTCAAAAAATGGAACAGATCTTACGAATATATTAACACTTAATTTTAGAATAAAATAGACAATCTAGATAATTTGTTACAATATACACTATTTTTAGATGTTGAAATCTTTTTTTTTTTCACAATCATGATGTTCAAGCCAAGATGATTGTTTTAAAGGTTTTCTGATACTTAAATTGTAATTTTCGATGACTCATGAGGTGAGACTTTACTTTTGATAGGGCCATCAAACCATTTTTTTTAATTTTAGATGTCGTTTGTATAGAGCTGAGGCTTTAAACAATCAAAGTAAAGCTCACATTCAAATTGTGTCGAGAAATGCCGTTTCAATACTAAAAATCTTTGTGATAGCCTTCAAATATATTTTCATCTTCAATTATAAAATTTTAAGCTTAAAAAATAATACAAATAGAGCATAAATATGAAAACTGTAAAATATTGAAACTTGATAGTAAAAAAAGGGTGCAGTTGGCATGCGGATGCATCCGTAACTGTAGAAGTAAGATGCACCTTCAAATTTTATCATGGCATATAATTTTGATGTAAAATGTTATTAGAATTATCTCAAAATCTATTTTTATATCTAATTATAAAATTTTAAAATGGTTAAAATCAAGTAGATCTATAAGCATATGAAAATATTGAAAATAGATGGTGTAGATAATATATTGTAAAATGCACTATTTTTATACTTAAAATCTGTTTATTTTTCTTGGTCATATATCTTGATGTCGAGATGATTAATCAAAGGGTTTTTCAACATTAAAACTATATTTTCTGATGGATTTTTGAAGTGCATTTGTAGTTCTATATTATAAGGTTGCATCCTTATATAAATTTTTGAAAAAATTACATACATATCTGTTATAGTTTCCGTTATTACGGCTGTATCGAATAATTTTCGTTATTATCACAATGTCTGTTTTTTTCATGTCAAAACGATTTTTTTTTAAAAAGATGACTTCACATTTTTTTGTTGTTGTTGTTGAACAACCGAATTCAAAGTATTTTTGGTCGTTCAACAATAAAAAATACACCAATTTTGATTTTTGAAGAACGAAAAATTTGAAAATTTTGATTGTTGAATAACCAAATTTTTTTTTCTACCCCTTTCTACATTACATGGGTAAAAATAGTAAAAAAATACATCACAAGATGCACTATTTTGAAAACTTCAAATCTATTTTTTTTCCGTTATCCATGCATCTCGATATATCAATTTGACAAAAGACTCAAAACAATGTAGTGAAAAATTTGAGGTGGCTATTTTCGAAAATGTTGATGATACGAGGGGTAAACGTTGTACATATGCTTAACTCCTGCAACTTTGTCTCTAGTCAACTCCGGGAAGCAACGTGTCGCCAAAACCGCGACTTTAGTTTTAGAGCAATGCCTTGAGTGTTTTTTAGTATATACATTAGTTTTAATTGATTCCGTGGTTTTTAAATTGGGACTTTCACATGCCATTATTATCAGGACTCTGGGGTTAGAGACCAAATGGAGTTGCAGGTTGACTGTATTTCTTGGGTTTTTTTATCAGTTGGTCTTATAGTTTTACACTATTTCGAGGTTTGGAGATTTAGTGTCTGATGGAGTTCCAGGTTCATTGTAATTTTAGGGCTTTTTCTCTGGTTGAAGGTACTGGTTCACTGTGATTTCAGGGTAAGGAATTTCTTCCCAAATGGAGTTGCAGGTTGAGGGTAATTCCAGGGTTTTGGAGAACCATTCTGAAACGAAGAGAGGCCAGAACGTGTGTTCAACTCCATTAGAGATTGGAGGAAATGAAGCGGCAGCAGCAGCTGCTAAAGCTTCAGCAACGGAGCTGAAATCTAGGGTTAATTCAGTGACTGCTCCTCCTTGCTCTTCTGCTGAGCCTCCTGGTAAGGGTTCAAAGGATTTGGGAGAGCTTATTTCAACTGACCCTGTTTGGGCGGCCATGAGAGCAGAAGCGAGGCTGGAGGTACTAGGTTTCATGCTTTTGAAAGTTATTGTAATTTGAAAGTGTATAATTATGGAATAATCGTTTTCGGTTAATGTCTCTGTTCCTAAAAAAATCAATATTTCAGCTATTGGATAATTCAGAACTCTTATCTGATATTCAAGATTTTTGTTATTGACTAGTTGTTTTGATTTGATGCAGTTAAATAGAAAATCAACCTGGTAAGTATCTTGTGATAGTTTCTAGTGTTTAGTTTGAATTGGCTCTCATCTGGTCTGTTCAATTGAATGTTATGATGAGTTAGTTAAGACTCAGTTCTGAGTGATTGATCACGTATTAGAATGCAACATTTGGTTCCTCTTTTAATCAACTTTGTTTTTGAAATTTGAACTTTTATTTTTATTTGTAAGGTAAGCATGAGTTTTGAACCTAAAACTCCATGGTTGTTGTTCTTTTTTGTTTGTTTTCTTTTTTGATTTCTGGAAACGTTCAGGCAAAGAATTCCTCAGTTTCATTACTAGAAAAAAGTCTGGAAGTTTTACACTTGGCAAGAACAAAATTTGCTTGAAAAAAGTTATTAAAAAAATGTTTTTTAAAAAAAAACAAAAGAAGTAGAATAATAGAAAAAAAAGAGAGAAACTAGTCGTTATATTTATGTTCAGGAAAATTCCAAATGGTCGTAGGCATACCAGTGTATGCTTCAAATTACGGGACTATAAATGTTAAATTCCCCCCCCCCAACCACCAATACACACACACACACACACATATTTATATATTTGTAATCACATGTGCATGCAAATATAGCAAATATTTATATATTTATGCACAAGTACAGACATGCTGTGCACACACACACACACACATTACCCTGACACAACACATGCAACTGTACATGCATTTGATTTGGTGCAAAGAAGAATGTATTTCAAGTGAATCCAAATGTTTTTTGGAATTATTTGGTTTGTTTTTATTTGTGAATTTTAAAATTATTGTGATTTTATTGTGCAGCTTTTGATTATCTATGTTATAAAAAAATTGGTTACAGTTGTGTTTGAATCGCCTTTGAGGCTTAGTCTACACTATATTAATTACCTAAAAAATGTGTACTGAGAATGACCAATTATTTATGTGGAACTCTTTAATGGTTATAGGCGGAGAAGGAACCCCTTTTGAGCAGCTTCTTATATGCTAGTATTTTATCACACTCTTGTTTGGAGCGGGCACTGGGTTTTGTATTGGCCAACCGGCTCCAGAACCCAACACTTTTAGCCACACAACTGATGGACATTTTTGATGATGTATTTATGAACGATAAAGGTCTTCGACACTCTATTCGCCTGGATGCCCAGGTAATGCCCAGCACAACTTTTGGATACGATGCTGTTTCTTTCAGCTTTTTTGGCACTCATATTAGTTTCTGTTTAGAGTATTTCAAAGATGCCTCTATGTTAATGATGCATTGTCTTGCTTTGAAGTTGAAATTGTATTCATTTGTAGGCAGTGAAAGATCGAGACCCCTCATGCCGATCATATAGTTGGGCCTTGTTATACCTAAAGGTATGCATGTTTTGTGGTCTATATATGATTTTGTTATGAAAGTAGGACATAGACTAAAATTATCAATGAGATTGTGATTTGGTGACAGCCATTTTGGAATATGTTCGAAAAATTTGAATAACTTGTGCTGTGTGCTCTTGTGAGTTAGGGTATGATATTTAGTGGCATGGATTATTAAATATTACAGTTCATTGCTGGCCATGCTAGGAACATTAGCAAGCACCAACAAGTTTAAGAACTAAGCCAGATGCTCCTTGCGAAAGTAACCTTCAATGAATATGTAGAAACTTCATTTAGGACAGATATCCTGAAGCCAATCCTCTGTATGGCTTTTACTGAGGTTGCTTCTTTCTTTTCTCTTGCATTTTATTGAATCCCTTTTGCTTTTCTTTGAGTTAAGCCATGAAAGAAAGGCTGAAAGACAATTCCTTCCTTACCTGACCTTCCTCTGAAAGCAGTTTTCCTATTGTTTGAAACCATACATAGAGGGTAATAGGAGGTCAACATCCTGGTTGTCTTGATTGTCTTGATTTTCGTTCTCTTAATGCATGGCAAGGGTATGATAAGTGGTCTTTAGGAAAGCACCCATTGCTATGCGATGGCATGTCCATGCCTTCTTATACGTGATGGTTGTTTATCACATAGGGATGATTCTATCGTTTCAAAATTGATTTTCAATCAAATCAGCTCTGTTTATTCAATTAAATTGATTGATATGATGGTTATCAATTTATTTTGCACACATATGATTATAGCCAAAGCCTTGGTGAAGGATGGCCTTAACCAGAACAGTTCCAAGGTAGCGAAATTCCTTGTCTAGTTAGTTTTGACCTATATGAAAGGTGTAACTATTTGGGCGTCATCCTGGAGAGAGGCTCCGTAAAATAACATGTTTGTGGAGATGTGGATCTAGATAGAAAGACGTTATGAAGCTTTACCATTCCTTGGAATTGGCTAGGGAAACTTTCAATTTGGCCTGCAAGATTCTTTCTAGTTTTTGTCATTGTTACTCAACTATATACATATATTGGAAAAATTTTATGTAAGGTGTCAACCTTATGCTGTAGAAGGTGCACCTCAAAAACCCATTGGAAAAAGTTGTTCTGATTCTATAAATCCTCTAATTGATCATCTCAACCTCGAGATATATGAATATGAAAATAAGGATTTCAAGTCTTAAAAATAATATATATTGTGACTCATTATCTGGACCACCCATTTTCAAGATTTTCAAAAAATTTCAAGTATTTATCGATCTTCTTGATATGGATTATTTACGGATGTTTAAATTTCATAATTAGTGGTGACAATAGATTTTCAGGTTATCGTAAGGTCTCTGGCACCGAAATTACAATGGAATTTGGGAATGTCCCTTACTTTTTTATTGTTTAAGGTGAACACAAAATAAATAAAATACTCTCAAAAATGAAAAAGTAAATAAGAGGAATGATCAAGTGGAACAGGGTTCTACTTGACCTGTTTTAGGCCCCAAGCTAACACCGTCCAATCAATGGATGGATGACGACGAGCGAGCTTGGAACCTGCTGACAGTTCATGTGATGTTCTGGTGGGTCCCACTCCATCATCATCACCATCCATCACCGTTCGTTCATTGGTTGGACAGTGTTGGTCTAGGATCAATAATAATAGCAAATCCCGCCTAGGCAGGCGAGAAAAACAATGAGAGAAAAGTCCATGCCATTTACTGCACTCTCTCTCCATGCATTTATGGCACTCTCTCTCGCTCTCTTCTTGCACTCTCACTCTCTCTCCATCACATTTTTGGCTCTCTTTCTCTTTTCGTTATTTACAGGCAGCTCGTGTCCCCTCCCTCTCTCCCTCCATCCCTCCCTCCCACGTGGACCTTGTCTCTCTCCATCGCATTGATTGCACTCTCTCGGCCTATTACGTTTATGGCACACTCTCTCCCCCTTTCACTTTTGTGGAACTCTCTCTCCGCATTTATGGCACTCTATCTCTCAATCCCCTCACATGCTTCTCTCTCTGTATCACATTTATTTTCTCCCCCAACCCTCACAGTTATGGCACTGTTGGTCTCTCTCTCGCCCCCTCCCTCCATCACACTAATGGCACTTTCTTTCTAATAAATATCCTCTCTCCCCCTCCAAAACACACATACTTCTCTCTCCACATTTATGACTCTCTCGCTCGCTCCATTGCATTTGTGACTCTCTCCCTCTCTTCATTTCCATATGGCTCGTCTCTCTCTCTCTCTCTCTTCCAACCCCTACTTGAAGAAAAAGTAAAAAAATAAAAGAATAAAAAACACTCTAAGGCCGCCCAGGTTTCTTAGGACCTACCTATGCGGCGAAATCTGCCTTTGTAAACATTTGAATATTAATAGACTCAATGCTACTTTATTTTTCAGAAATTTACACTAATGTCCCTCTACATTATTGTGATTTAAGAAATCCTCCTAAAAATTTGATGTTACATTCATGCCCTTTATTTTTATTTTTTCCCATATTGCCCCTGCTTCGGGCCTTGATGGTCCGAAGTTTAATTTTTTTTTGTTCATAAACTTACTTTGGACCTTGAAGGTCCTAAGTTATTCCAAACATCAACTTTGGGTCTTCAAGATTTGAAGTTGGTTTTTGACTTTTTGTTCACATACATTAACTTCGGATATTCAAGGTTCAAAGTTATTTAAGTCCTTAAGTAGGTCTTTTACCTGATAAGAACATGTTATATGCACTCATGCCTGTTTCCTTACGGTTCCTTCTTGATAAAACTACTAAGTTATCTTGTCATGAACCCTATTGTGAACTAGTCCATTTGATGTAGTGTCATTAGGTAGTTTTTGTAAGGAACGAGTTTTAAAGTGCAAAGGCTCGAAAACCAAGGCCCCAGGGCGTTTTGCTAGAATAGGAACCAGCAAAAGGTCTGGAATATCAACTTTGGATCTTGAAGGTCTGAAGTAGATATATGTGAACAAAAAACCAACTTCGGACCTTGTAGGTCTGAAGTTGATGTTAGAACAACTTTTGACCTTCAAGGTCTGAAGTAAGTTTATGAGCTAAAAGAGATGAAATTTCAGACCTTCAAGATCTGAAATAGGGGCGGCTTGGGAAAAAAATAGAAAAAAAAAGATGGTTATGAATATAAAGTCAAACTCTTTGAGGGGATTTCTTAAATAAATGTAATTTTGAGGGACTAGTGTAATTTAGAGGGACCAGTAAATGGATGTGCAGATCAATTGGTTCAAGTGAAATATTAAGAATATGTACGTACCATTTTTATCAAATATTTTATCTATGTTCTAAGTTTTACCATTCTAGCTATAATCAAGGAGTAATTGCCTTATAAGTAATATTCTTTTGCATTTTATAGGTGACAACAACATGCATATTTTCACTTTTATCAAGAACTAATGTCAAGCTATATATATTTTGTGTGTGATCTGTATAAGGTTGCAACCTTCAAATTAAGGCACACTTCCAAATTTTATCATAAATATAATTTTGATGTCCAAAAATCTTAGGATGGCTTGAGAATCTATTTTCATGTCTAATTATAAAATCTTAAACTCCAAAAATAGTTCAAATCAAATAGATCTATGAACACCTGAAAATATTGAAAACGGATGGTCCAAATAATGTGTTGCAAGATACACTGTTTTTAGGTCTCGAAATCGTTTTTTCTTTTCATATTCATATATCTCGATGTTGAGATGGTCAATTAGAAGGTTTGCCAACATCAAAACAACCATTTATGATGGATTTTTGAGGTGCACCTTAATTCTACATTTTAAGGTTGCAACCTCATATAAACTTTTTCCATATATTTTTTGTTTATGTTTTTAATATATTAGCAATACAACAATTATTGTAATCTGTTCTCCTAATAGTTTCATGTTCTTATTCTCCATCATTGGAAGTCATGTGTTTGTGTTCTCTCTTTTACTTACGCAGTTTGCTCATCAGAGGAGGAAATGAAATTAAACTCTCCCCATCTATTTGGCAGAGCCAAGAAATTGTGTTGAGCGCATGTAGCGTGCTTCCACAGGGCTACTTTCCTTCGAGCAATAGACTTGGGAGGATATTTTCGATATGAAATATTGGCATGCATTCTAGAATCACTAGATGAGTATTCTCGTAAAACGACAATTGGAAAAATGGAATTTTGAGTTCCTAAACACTTAGATCTGACTGTCTAAAAAATTAGGCGGTTTCTATTCAATCTTAGGATGTTAGATTTTTTGAGGCACATATAGGGGCAGATGTCCTTTTTTTTAGGTCGGTCACTGGGTTTAGGAGGTCATCCCCCAAAATTTGGGGTCCTAAAGATACTCATTAAGGTTTTATCCAAGGAAGTGAATCTAGGATATGCTCCCTTTGGGATCATGTAATCTGTTGGCAACTGTAATTGTTCTTCTCTGTCTAGTTATAGAGCAGATCGCTAATTAGTTCTTACAATTGGATAGGATAATAATTGTTGTATATGCTCATTTTTTTCTTGCTTTCTGGTTCAGATTGAGTTTTAGTGCATATTGCAATTAGCCAGATTGCTGATCATCAATAAAAGAGGACAAAAAGTTAGATGTGCATTACCAGAGTAGACTTATTATAATTTCTCTTTGGAGTAGAGATAACTTGTTTGAATGACCTGTCATGTTTGTTGAGATTCAACATTGTCTTATTTCTCTAAGGATATTAATGTCGTCAGCAGGTTCTGCCTTGGAGTGAGTACAGCAGGTTCTGCCTTGGAGCTAGTAGGATATTAATGTTGTCAGCAGGTTCTGCCTTGGTCATCTAATTGCTTGGCCAAATCCTAGCAATTCGACATAAATTATTACTTTACCTATCTCCTTATCTCTGGGTAGTGTATGAAGCTATCACTTTAGATCTAAGAGATTGAAACCTACGGCACTTTCTATTTTCCACATGGCATATGCAATAGCCAATTGTGTATTCTTGGCTTATGTGCCATGCAAGATGGGCTTGGTGTGAGTTGGATGTCCTAGTTATGGATGTGTGTCCAAGACCCTTTAGTTTTTTTGAAAAACATGAGGAAGTGTTTCAGTGGAGATATGTTTCTAATCTAGGAGTTGTTGGTGATAGATAGGGGACTTAATTTTTGTCAGCATCAGGTGTTTCGTGCCATTGATTTTGTTCTTTTACTCCTTTAACAGAATTATTTAGGGGAAATATCCTCGTACCCCCTATTTTTTGTTTTCATATCTCAATAGACCCAAAAATTCAAAATATATCTCCTAATCCCCTGACTAACTTTGCCCACTTTTAACTATTCTTTTAGCCCTAACAAATATAAAAAAGACATTCTCATTCTAAACCCTTCCTCTCTTTACGTGATATATTCCTCCCAAATTTCTCTCTCTCTAACATTCACCCTCTTTGTCTCTCTAACGGGGGAGAGAGAGTGAGAGACATGGGAGGAGAGAGTGGGAAAATAGATAGAGAGAGATTTAGGGGAAAATTACATGGAGAGAGAAAAAGTATGGTGTTTATAAATGATGTCTTTCTTATATTTGTTTGGGGCAAGAAAATAGGTTTAAAGGGGATAAAGTTAGCTTAGGGGGTTAAAAGATATAAAACTTAGAATTTTTATGACCCAATATATGTTTTGAAACCTTGGGTCTATTGAGATATAAAACTTAAACATGGGGGGTATGGAGATATTTTCCCAATTATTTATTATGAAAAAAAGATATACGAGTTTTCTTAGGAATTTATACAGCTTTTGCAGACGAATCAACTATATTGCATAAGCAAGCATGATTATCATAAAAGCATCAAATAAGAGAAAACTGAGCCTTTTCTATTTGTGCTATATGTAGGCAAAGAGCTTTTTTTCTTTTGTAGGTTGGGTTTCCTATATCATCTCAACTTTGCAGAAACATCTAGCAAAACCTTTCAAATAACATGTGACATGAAATTTTACATGTCATTCCGCTTGTTGACAGGGCTACCATTCTTTACAGTCGTATCGTGTAGCACATGCATTGTGGAATCGTGGGCGAAAGGTTTTGGCATTAGCATTGCAAAGCCGGATAAGTGAGGTGATTCTTCTTTCTATAATTCTCTTAGTACTAGAATTTCTTACTAGGGAAACTCCCTAGAAACCACTGATGTTGGAAAATGAAAACTATTTCCTAAAGGTACTTCAGCTTCTTAAATCGAGTGCTTTCCAGGAGCTTCTGCCTTCTAGTAATTACTAGTTAGCGACGTTTGAGATGCACATTTAAGCATTATCTAATTTGCTATTTGCTACAGCCAAATCTTTCCTTATCATTGGACAATTCAGAAATTCTTCATGGTGCATCACTGAATTTGCGTAGCTTTTTAATGTTGTCGGTTAAGTCCATACTAATGTAGGTGCCTTTGGTGCTATTCAAGTTTCCTGGATGAGATTGTTTTTTGTATTTTAACTATGGGTTTCCATTAGGTATATTACATAATAGGCTAATGTTACGGCTGCTAGCTTTGCTAAGACAGGGACAACGTTGAGGTGCTTTGTGCATGGGATGAATTCCAATCCTTTTTTGGAGAACTCTGGTTGTATTTTATTTTCTTTGACATTAATTTTTTTTTTTTTTATCCTTTCAAGCTAGGTAACATGGAGACATGTGTCCTTTTCTTTTACATTATTTCTTTGAAAAGGTTTATGTTCCTCTAACTTTGATTGATGGAAATTGTCTATTAATCTTGTTTGAAAAGGTTTATGTTCCTCTAAGTTTGAAAAGGTTTATGTCCTTACGTGTTTCGTGTTTTGTAGGTTTTTGCCGTGGATATACATCCAGGTATGTTATTTTGGTAATGTACGATGCTAGGTGTATTATTTAGAATTTATGACTTCTGACGGTTTTCAGAATATTGAGTTAAATCTTGGCTATGATCTTTATCCATACATTTGATATTTATTGATGTCTTGGGAGGCAAACTTGGTGCCGGATAGTTAGCTATTTTGTTTGCAAGTGTCGAATAAATGGGTTTATGTTACTGTTAGATGATAATGGCTTCAATGAAGTGAAGGAATTCATTTGGTAACCTAAAGTTTTGGTCTTATGACTTCTTTATGTATTACAAACTTTGCCAAATCCATTCGTTGCATGTAACCTATGCATGCTGAAAGTTGTGGATGTGCTATGGCTATTCCAATATTCTATTTTGTGCTCCTATCTGTAGCAACTAGTCCACTGGTCCTGTTTTTAATGTGCATCTGGAGGTGATAAGTTATTGATTGTCATGATTTATGTACTATACAGCTGCCAGACTTGGCAAAGGGATTTTCTTGGACCATGCTACGGGTGTTGTGATTGGAGAAACTGCAGTTGTAGAAAAAAAAGTTTCATTGATGCAGGTACACAACTCTGTTTATCCTGGTTATCATTGGTTTTTTTCTATGTTCAGCTGTGTTGGTCTTTCATGGTTCACTGAGGATCATTCAGCACAATGTTTTTTTTATTACAAAAATCTTCTCTCCCCCCCCCCCTCTCTCTCTCTCTCTCTCTCT